CATGTATCAATAACTGTGACTGTGGTGATTGTTATCAGTTTTATCAGTCCTAATTCTAATCTAATACTATCTTTAATCGTGAACAATAGCAAACAGGTAAGACTATTACACTAACATTATATTATTATTTGCGGCGATGGTGGTTAGTAACTGAATATTAATAAAAGTAAAAATAAAACTAACTTATAAGCTGTAGCCATCGTAACTCGTAGGTATATTAAAAAATATGTTCAAGGTGCTAGTAACTAGTAAACTACTAAGCTAACTGAATATATATTATGTCCTCTATTTATGCCTTTGATTAGCAACAATAATATTTTATAATTATCAAAAAAATATTATAGGTAATGTCGATTCACCATTAAAAATAACTGTAAGTTAGTGACTACAAAACCACATTTGAGGTCACCCTAATTAAGCCAATATAATACTCGATGATGATAACTGAGTAACTTAAATACTTATCACTCAAACGAATGGTGACCAGTCATCATTAAAAGTCACTGTGACATTGAAGTAGCAGTCATCATTGTCGCGGTGACCAAATTTAGTCACCGTTAACCATCACTAATTATCACCAGTTGTTGTAATATGTATACAATGTGAACAAACAGATATAAATAATCCAGTGTTATATCTGGTAATAAAAATATTAGTCAAGCTTAAATATTTACTGAAATTAGTCCAGAAAAATTGCTTATTATTGTCGAAACCATTGATTAAACAATTTAATTTACCATTTGGAATATTGGTAGACATGCTTAATTAAGTTAAGTATAACCTAACCAGAGCCGTAACTAGGGTGAGGCGAGCGAGGCGTTTGCCTTGGGCGCCTAATGCTGGGGGGCGCAAAAATATTAAATGATTAATTTATGAAAAAATATTGTCAAAATAATATTTTTCATTTCTACGCACTAATCCGTAAACATAATGTTTATTTTTTTCCCCGAAATTATGACGACGTTGATCGCCGATAAGAATAGTATACCATTATAACTTATATGGGTATTTTGTTAATAGTAGACAGTAGTATATTATCTTTATTTTCTGTTTAATCGACGAATCAATCGACGTACATGCTTAATATCTATATTATATCAGTTGATATACGTACGATACATCAGTTTATAAATAGTGAACAAATTTTGTGTAATTATTACTATTTTAATAATTTGACTTAGTATTTGTTGATCACTCGGCAAGTGTGTAGCTTTCTATTTTTTTTTCGAACAAGAAACAGGTACAAATTATTTATACCAAATTAATGTGTTTTTAAACAATACAGATAGTTTAACTATTAAAAAATAATAATGAATAATAAAAAGAAACGAAGTGGAGCAGAGAATCGAAGTATTAAGAAAAAAAAAAGCAAATGAAGACGTACAATTGTCAAAACAAATGAAAGACTGGTTTTCTAAAGGTTCTGTTTTAGATGAAAAATCGACTGAATTAGTGTCAAACTTGAAAGAATATCAAGAAGATAAAGGTTAGTTTATTTTCTAATTAAAAGTTAAGGTAGTAAACTGTAAAACTACTCAGGTTGGCGGTTTCTTCAAAGTAGTACCAAAAGCTGATATATGAGCGTTTGTTTACGTAATTATTATTTCGTGCATTTCTTATCGGTTTGTTGCTATTTTTGGTAATAAACACGGAATAATATTATACTATAATAAAATAAATGATAATTCATATTATTAAACTTCGTAAAGAAGAATTTTTTTCAAATAAAATCATAAAAATGTTAAAAATTATTAGCGAATGTTTGCTGTCGGTGAACCAAGAAATATATTTTTAGAGTATTATTTGCTACAAAATTTTAGGTGAGGCGCCGCCACTGCCTTTTCAAACCGCCACTGAAAAGATGTAGTTAGTATTTATAATTATTTAAACGATTTCTACAATTTCGGTGATTTTATATAATATATTATCTATATTATGTCAATTTTATTATTATTTGTCTATCGTGAATAATTGTTACTGTTGTCTGTTCCTCGTGCGTTAACCGTTGTACCAAATGTACGTTTGCAAAACCGAGATCTATTCAGAAATAAATAGTATTCATAATCATTAATTTTTATTTCAGAAGAAAATTCCGGTGATTCAAATGACTCATTTAATAATAAGACAATATTAGTAGGTGAAGAAATTGAAACTTGTGTTAGTTCTATTACAACAAAATCAAATGAAATAATTCAAGATATTCGTGAACCTACATCTTCTTCAACTAGTTTTGAAACATTTTTTCAACTTATAAATTGTAACGATCCACCTTCTTGGCCCCCAATTACGGATAGCATTAGAGTTTACCTCGTAACGCAAGAACCTGATTAAGGTAAAGATGCTGGTTTTAGCAAATCTATGTCAGTCGATGGTCGTCGATTTTCCCCTTATTGGTTAAAAAAAACTTTACCGAACAATGAAGTTATAGACAGAAATTGGTTGATTTATTCTAAAAATAGTAAAGCCGTATTCTGTTTTCCATGCTGTTTATTTAAATCAAATACCTTAAAAACAGGAAGTATTGCATGTACAAACGAGGGTTTTTCGGATTGGAAAAATATTAATCGTATTTTAGATCACGAGAAATCGGCTGATCATAGAAATCATTTCTTACAATGGAAATCTCTTGAAAATAGATTAAAAAACTTTCAATGCTTTGACGATAAATTACAAAAGGCGATTTTGCTAGAAAAAGATTGATGGCGTCATATACTTCGTATAATTTTAGATGCAATTTTATTTTGCACAAAAAATAATTTAGCATTTAGAGGATCGAGCACAACAGTAGGAAATAAACATTCTGGTATTTTTTCTAAATTTAATAGAATTACTTAGTAAATATGATAATATTCTAAAACAACATCTTGTAAATCATAACAAAGGAGCTATCAGTTATATATCTCCAAAAATACAAAATGAATTTATCTGTTTGTTAGGACAAACAGTTCGAAATAAAATATTATCTAAAATAAAAAAAGCAAAATATTTTTCTTTGCTGTTTGACTGCACTCCCGACGTGTCACATATTGAACAAATGGCCGAAGTGATTCGTTGATATTGACAATGGAAAAATTACAATTGAAGAAAGTTTTATAGATTTCATAAACACGGAGGAAAAAACTGGGGACGGGTTGGCTATGGAAATATTAACAAAATTAAAAGCTGATGAACTTGATGTACAAAATGTACGGGGACAGGGTTATGACAATGGAGCTAACATGTCAGGAAAATACCGTGGCGTTCAGGCAGTCATATTAAATAAAAACAATTTAGCCAAATTCATTCCATGCGCTGCTCACTGCCTTAACTTAAGTGGCGTACATGCAGCATCAGCTAATGTTAAGGTACAATTTTTTTTCGATGTGATTCAGAAAATATATACGTATTTTGTCAAATCAACTACTTGATGGAAAATTTTAATGGATACATTAAAAATTTCATTGAAAGGTCATTCAGATACCAGATGGACTTCAAAAGCACAAGCTGTTAAGGCCATGAACTCCCAAATAAAAGAAGTATTTAAGGTATTACAAAATATTTCTGACTCAGAATTAAATTTGGAAACAAAATCAGCAGCTAAAAATTTACTTCAATTGATCAATTTTGACTTTCTTTGCTTACTTAATATTTGGAATCAAATTTTAAGTAGTATAGATCGTGTTAATCAAGCTTTACAAAACAAAAGCTTATCGTTGGAAAAAGCTTCCAATTTGCTACTCGGGCTTAAAAATGCTTTGCAGGAAATTCGTGACACAACCATGGAAGACAATTTTACAAATGCTACAAAAGTTGCAGAAGAGTTACAAATATCGACAACTTTAAAGGAATCAAGAACAAAAAAAAGAAAAAAGATTAGAACTTTATGAAACAGATGATAACGTAATAAATATTTCTACAGAACAAAACTTTCGAATTACTATTATAGACTCAATAGATATTCTTCTTACTCAGATGACATGGCGGTATGAAAAAATTATGGAAATTTCAAACGATTTTGAATTTCTTTCCGGTCATTCATTAACCAATATGAATTCACACGATTTGCAAAAAGCAGCTGCTGATCTAGGATTAAAATATAATGAAGATATAAATACTGCGGAAATAGTTGAAGAAATTAAAGATTTTAAACATGCAGTTTTATCAATTTTGCCAAGTATTGAATCAGTTACGTTTTTGGATTTATTACAAATAATTCACGATTATAAGCTTAAAGAATCGTATCTAAATAAAAATTGCTATAAGGATTTTTCTTTCAATGCCCGTTACAACAGCTTCATGTGAAAGGAGTTTCAGCAAACTTAAATTGATAAAAACGTACTTAAGATCTACAATGGCTCAAGAGAGATTATCAAGCATGGCCATCATTTCAATAGAAACAGAAATCGCTAGTAAATTGGATTACGAAGAAGTTATTGACAAATTTGCCGACACAAAAGCAAGGAAAATATCGTTATAAATAATGATTATTTTTTATTTTTATTATTATTAATTATTATTTTGAAATACCTTATAAATAAATTTGTAAAATTTGAATTGATTTGTTTCCTATAATATAAGGTTGAGAATTATAAACTTGTGGCTAAAAATATAATTTCTTGTTTAGCTCGAAACCTAATTAAAAATTTACTGATTTTCCTAATCTTATTATTTTATTGAAAAATATTAAAAACTGTGAGTGTGTCACCCCCTCCCCCCCATCAAGGGGGCGCATTTCTAAAGTTCTGCCTCAGGATAAAAAATGGCTCGGTACGGCTCTGAACCTAACCTTAATATAACCATTCAAGGTAATAATACTTTTTTTAGAATATTACATATAGGTAGTTAATATATTATTGTAATGATTAATTTAATTATCTAAACTAATTACAAAATAAAAATTGAAATATACTACATTAATCATTTTAGTTAATAAACAAGTATAGTTTACTTATTTTACAAATCAAATTTACTATTTGAACATTTTTTAATTTTAAATTGTTTGTTTTTCAAAAATATTCTTGGATGTATAAATATTTAAACAATAGCCTAATTATTTGGCTTGTATAAATTATGAAATTGTATATAAGCATGTACAAAATTGTTGTGTATACAGTGGTGGTGATCTTCATGGCAGACTTGATAGGCTTGCAGCTATACTTTTTCAAGAGTTCATTATCTATATTAATAATACAACATTTTAGATTTTTATAAATTTAATAATTGTTTAATACTATTTTTTTCTCCGTTTATTCTATTATTTATGTCGAATTTAAAAATAGATTTATTTATTATACAGTTTGCTCATACATTGAATGATTTTATTTTTTTTGCATTTTTTTTGTATTTCCATTGATTTGAGAATATCATGCTGAAAATATTTTAAATATTTTCATTAATTAGTATTTCATACATTTAAGAGATTTAACTTAATTAACTACTTACTGTATATTTAATGTAAGAGAGAAAAGTATCATACATAATAGAAACTATGTTTGTGAATAGAAGTCTATATTTTGGATCTAGAAACTTGAAATTTATGTATTGTGATGGAACAAAAACAGCACAGTCAACCTAAAAGTGTTCATTTAGTGATAATAGTGATAAATATAAAATTATAAAAATCTTAAGAAAAATATTAATAATTTTCAAATAGAATCGGTTATAAAGTAAAAATGCAAACTTTTCACTAAATAAATTTTAAGAACAAATCAATTAAATTATATTTATTTTTCTAAGTTATTATTAGTCGGTTAATTGGCGCGGAACTTCTTTGTATTATAAAACTACATTGTTGAAATAGTTTTGAATATTAGCCAACTCTAATTAGTCTAAGTTCACTCATCAAAACACGTACATTTCTTAACAAATGTTTGACATTTTATAATAATTATGTATTATTTATTTTAATAACAGACTAAACAAATTTCTAAGTTATTTTATAGAAAATAAATTATTATATTATTTCTATAATTAATGGCCACTAGTGTAATCTCCAAACCTTTTACAACTATATTATTATTTTCAACTGTTAAATTAATTTTATATTAATTAAAAATTATGTATAAATATTAATATATATAATTAAAATCTTATTTGTCCATGGAATTATGTTGATCCAGCTTACCAAAAATATCATTAAAGATTTGTTCTTAAATTCTTCATTCATGTTGGCAAAAGTTTTATTTTCTAAAATACCCAGTCCATAAATGAATATCGCAATGTTGATGGGTGTACATACAGTTTGATCGATGAGTATTTTTCTGAATATTGTTAGATTGTCTCTAGTTGGATACCGTTTGTCCAATAACTGATAGAAAAAATGTTGTATTGATCCCAGTATACAACCCACAACAGCAATTCGCGCTAAACATATATTTGCATACATTCACACACAACAAAAGAAAATATTAACTAATTAGAAAATCAAACTTAAGTTAAAAAAATGCTAAAAAGGTTTTAACTAGATATTTAAATTTACTGATTACTGTATGCAGTTAGTTTACTACCAAATACACTATTAATTATAATAGAGTTAGGATAGCTTAGAAAATAAGTGAAATGTTAAAAAATATAGTAAACTTTATTTATTTGCATATCTGAATGAAATTAAATTTTTTAAGTCAGTAATACGAATTCTATAAAAAAAAAAATAAGTTCTGATACTCATAGACGTATAGAGAAGGGAGGGAAGCTTAATAGGGTAGCTTAATAACATATAGGTATGTAATGAGTGTTAGATGAAGCAACTCACTCTTTGGGATCAAGTCATATACATATGAGGACTCTATTCACATCTTACTAATGGGAAGTAAACTTGATATAAAACTAATAATAATTATTACTGCTAATATTCATATATGTATCTAACCTAATGAGCAGGACCGGATTATGGTCATAATACTAGGGGACTATTACTTTTAGTGAGGCCCTTTTACAAAAAACCATTCCATTTTTTTTTTAAGATTTTGCAATTTGTAATAAATATTAATTAAAATAAATTTAATATATTTGTATATTGTTGAAAATTATAAAAACACTATTTTTTTAACATATTTATTTGATGCAGTTTTATATGAAAAAATAAATGGTAGCTTATTGTGGCCCCTTTCAACTAGCGGCCCGAAGCTATAAACCCCCCCCCCAGCCCTCCCTTCGTCCAGCCCTGCTAATGAGTAATTACGACATATATTACAAATTATTGGTGATTAATAGGACTGGGATTTTGATGCAAATGCATCTTTTTTTCTGACATTCCAACCATACTCGTGCACAGACATTACCGACAGGGTATAACACATTAACATTTAATATTAACAACAAATTCGGATGAAGTAACTTTATTAATTATTCCATTTAACTTTATTATATTTTTCAAATATTCTTATACTTTTATTTACCCTTTACGGACATTTTGAAGTGGTTGAACATAATATGGTTATTTATTATTGTGATAATATTGAATATTTTTGTGAGGGAGGGAAGGTTCAAAGAGTAGTCAAGGCTCCCCCCGAAATTTAAAAATAATAATTTGAAGACTGCTTTTGCCCTATAAAATGTAAATCGTAGAAGTTCATATTATCATTGTTTTATCAATTATTAGTTTCAAATTGTTCATGTTTCCTAGTGTACTTATGTAGGTATTTTATTTTATTTATTTATTTATTTTATTAACATTTAAGTGTATTTACAATTTGTAATTTTTTTATATACAATAAGTAAATTTGATAACAAACTAGTATACAGCAACTTGAAATGACATGACGAGGGAGGCCTACCAGTGTGGAAACCTTCCGACTTGAGGGAAATAGAGGTTTGCTTGTTTAATTAATGTAAGTCGAGATACAAGAGATTTCGACTCCAATGTCTTTTTAATCGACGTGGAGGGTTGTCTGAGATGAATTCGCTGGCTAAGTTAGATATTAATAGATTTTGTGGTTAATCGATTTAGGAATTTTTTTTAGTAGTTTTTAGCTGTGTTAAAAACTGTTTCAATTTTATTTCTTAAATGTTGTAAATTATAATTATAATTAGGTATTTCATTTAATTTAATTTTAATAATTTTGTAAAAATAGTTATATGATTATACAATAAAAATTAAAATTGTTTATTAAAATTCTGATTTTTGTTTTAAATTGGTTGAATTATGAAATTTTTTGTAGAGAAAATTTCCCAACCCCTCCAAAAAAAATTTAAATACGCTCCTGTCCTAGGTCTAGGGCAAGACCCATATGGCCTTCCTTAAATCCGCCACTGTTGATAAACTAATAAATACAAACATATCAGCCCATATATCTATTTTATTTGTTAATCAGTCATGGAGTATAAATATAATAATACATATTTAAGTTACCTTTTTTGATATCTTTAAACAATATTAGTAAAATTAAATTAAATAGGCGATTTATGAAATAAATTAAATTTTAATTTTGTTAGTTAAAATGTAAATGTTAAAGAAATAGGTAGGTTAAAAAGGTTTTTGCATATTATTTTGAGTGGGTATTATTTTTATATTATTATTCGCTATTTTTTAGACCAATGTAAGCAAATATTATGTATACATTTCAATTAGAACTTAGCCCAACATCTTACACCCATATGTCTCGTGTACTGCAACGGTCGAAGACCCGAAAATCCGAGTTGCAGTACCCTCGGTTATGCGCACGTTAAAAAGTCCGAGAAACCATTCTCGTGCCGTAACCCCCGCCACCAATGATATTACTCGCCTGTTCTTTCGTTGTCGTGGCCGTCGGACAGCCCGTGGTATCGTTCAACGCACTGCTGCGCTACGTCGCCGAAACACATGATCGCGGAACCGCTGAACGTGTTGGTCGCGAACAAATGCTTGTCCAACACGTACGCGGCCGCGGCGCACAGTCTTCTCCCGGCTGCGGACATCGGCTCGCGATACGGTGCACACGTTCACGACGATCGGTTAGTGTCCGGAATGACTGGCCCGATGACGACGGTCGGTTACGATTCGTAACCTGTGTTGGTATGTATATTTATCGGTGTCCTTGTGTTCAAAATCGGTCGGCTGTCGCACACGATCTGTACGACGGACCGTCCGTATTCACCTCGATTTTTCCTCGCTCGACCAACGGCCGCAAAACCATATTGGCCGTCTGCCCAATCAACAATTTTTACGCAAAAACAACTGCAACATACATGGGGTACGCGATCAGTGCCGCGCAACTGTAGTGATTTCGGCGGGGCCGGTACATATGTGCAAGTTTCGATAAACAATAATACGTTGTTGGCTTTAATATCCGAGTGGCCTGATCTATCATCAAACTTAAAGGAAAGAACATTATATCTATGAGATGACATTGGTTTTTTACGATATTTTATTTTTTAATAATAAAATGAAAATATTTAATAACCGGGCGTAATAATAATTTACCAAATTAGTTTTTTCTTAATCAATAACCGTCACCTTAAATATTCTTATTAATATGTGATGTTTAATGACATTAGAGTCTAAATCAAGTTTGAAGAGCTGAAGAACGGCAGAATATGATAGAGACGAACAGAGAAGAACGATGTGATGATCAAATTAAAAAATCACTAAATCAGAAATAGTCAAAAAAAGATATGATTGATTCTATTCTGTAGCAGATCCGGAGAAAGGAAGTTTCATCTCTTCCCACCATTTGTTCTCAAAAAAAATTATTCGAATTTTAAGTTTTTTGGACGTTCTATTGACGTACCACCATTCATTTAATACAAAATTAATTAACATTCAAAATGAATTATTATTTTAATATTAAAAATGCTTACCTCAACTGAATTCCTGTTAAGTCTTAAATGACTTTTAAAGTCTGTCATTGTACAAACTCGTAACTAACATGAAGTTAGTAATACGGGATTTAGTATTTTTAAGTTGATTTAACAATAACATTTTTTTCTTATCTAAATATGTATTCATTTCTTAAAGATGATTTAAAAAAAATATGTAATGAGATATGTTTAATATTTAATATATTTAATTTACAATTTTCAATTAATATTTTATTCAATTATATTTTGTACTTTATTAGTTAATTCATAACAATCAACAATCTTGCTTGAATATAATTGATAATTTGTTAACATCATAGCGGTTGATGGCGGTCAAACGTATTACCCAACTTGTTATAACGTAATGCACCAAAAAGATGTTCTTAAACTCCAATCAATCCACTGAAGAATCCGCTAGATTAGTTGATGATTTTCGGAACACAAGGACTATCTGATAAATACCTCGATTACGGTTGTAAACCATAACAATATCCGTGGAAGTTAACACTATTCGTTCCACAACCATAAATGTTATGATGTAAGAAGATATACATAAATTGATACCCGTGATCAAATTGACATAGTATTGAATTTATTATCATATTATACTGGTAATTTATATTCTTAATTATTTATACATTACATTTTTTAAATAAAGCAATGTATTATATTCAAATAAAATACGAGCTATAGGGGCGAATGCCTCCTTCCCCCCCCCAATCAAATATGCCCTTGAATTACGAAGTACAAAACGAAAAAAGAATAGTGCGCTTGATAAAGAATAATATTTAAGAGAACAAAAGTCAAAATACTCTAATATACGATAACCCGATTTGAGTTTAATAAATCCATATAATTTAAGTTTTTACCAAGAATATTATAAAAAATATATGATATATTTTATTTCAATTATAATAATGATATATTAATATACGCAATTTATTCCATAATTGTAAGATTTGACTTCTAATTAAGATTATTACGTATTAAATAAATAACACAATATAAGTGTTCGTATTTTATAATTTGTTTTGTGCTGGGATTCTATTTAGCTACAATCTTTTTTTTCCGGAACTCAACTTACCCACTACCTTTTTTTTTTTTTTTTTTGGATCCAATTTAGTTAGAAAAGATCATTTGGGACCCATCCACATGGGAAATGTTTATTGCGCACACGTTTTTATTGAAGCAATACTATTCTAATTTTCGTTTGGTGCGGGGAGAAGTGCATGTGCGCATGCGTGTGTGTGTGTGGCAACGTCAGAGTAAGCCAGAAATAAAGTAATTTTTAATAATAAGACGCAATCGAAAACTGTACACATAAACATAAACATTCAATACCATCGAGGTATAAATACATAATTATCAATAAGTGATAAAAGAGATGGATTGGATTTTTGATTATTGATATGCTGTTAAATATTTAGTCATAATATTTATTTTTATGTAATTGTAAACAAGTAATGATAAAAATTCAAATTTGGGCGAAATGTGTTAATTATTTCCTGCTGTTCGATGACGCCTCATCAAAATCTTCATTGTTATGGACTTTTAGCGATTGAGTATCATATTGTAAATTTTATTATTTACTATTTATATTTTTTATGTACCTTAATTATTTACTATTATTCCAATCACTTTTGATAAGTTTGATTCGTGACAATATTGTTTTCGTCATTTTTATTTTAAACCGTTTTTTTTTATGTTTCTATACATAAATATTTTACAATTGTCTATTTACAACGAAGTTTATTAATAATAACTTATTTTGGTATGATTTTTTAACACAAAACCTATGCCCACTTACGTTTTTAAATGTAAGTAATTACTGTGTGCTAATTTATTTTATTTCGTGATACATTGAATTACAGTATTATAAATTTATAAGCAGGGCTCGGAAGTTGTAGCACTAATAATGTTATTTTTTTAGTTCTTAAATATGCACTTAAAAGCTCTAAAATTTGCGCTATAAATAGCACGAAAAATAAAAAAATATGCATTTAACTTGAAAAAATTATAAATTTATTAGAAACAAAATGTAATTTTACAAATTTTTTAACTCATAGACACAGTTTGGACTGGTTGAATTATAAACTGTTAACAAAAATGTTAAATTACTAAAATATATTTATAAAAATGTACTTATTATTAAATTATTTTATATATTTACCTTGGAAATTATTCTGGATTGTGTATGATAATGTAATGTAATGATACAATAAAGAATAACAATGACGTCACTAACTATTAATACATCAATTTGTCCATAAAAACATAAAATAATAATTGACGAGGTCTATTTATTTTCAATAATTCATATATTTTTAAAAATATAACCAAGTAAATACCATAATCGGTTTTATTAGTTATTGTTTAATTTAGACATTTGACGTTTATTTTTATAATTATATTACAGGAAATAATAGTTAATTTTATGTAATAATACTTTTTATATTTTTCATTTGGCCTGACCTAATAAAAGTGTCTAGTTTCGGCTTTGAGTCTACGAGTAGCTTACTACAAAGTTTTGTTTCGGAGTTTAAAGATACATTTACATCCGATGGACACGTTTTATTTTGTGTATTATGTGGTAATTTCTTTTTAATGCATATTATAATGCATATTTATGTATTTTTTAGAGCTATAAGTCCCTAGGCCTACCAATAATCATAGTCACCTGTAGCCCTGTAGACCGTAATTAAATACGATATTATGTAATCAGACTCGGTAACAGTTGCACGCCATATCATACCTTCCGCCTTCATACCGTGCGGCGTGCCATACGGATCGTCGTTGATGCATTTATGACATATTAAATATAATATATTATTGTTTTGTTATATGCCAATGGATTTCTCAAAAAATCGCACTCACCAGGTGATCCATGCGTTTCAAGTTTTATTTTATGAGATTTCCATACAAAATATTTTTCAATTAAAATTTTAAGTGTGAGGCCTTGGACAAATGCTCCGTTTTGCCTCCTCCTAACACCGACCTTGGCACTAGGGATGTGCATGAAATCCGAAGATCTGAATTATACGAATATCCGAATATGAATAAAATTCTTATCCCGATTTGTCGAAGTATCCAGATTATCAGGATTCATGAATTTGCTTTTTATATAACTTATAATTGTTATTATGATTCGGATTTGTCAAATTTGGATATGCCCATCACTAATTGTTCAAAAAACAAATTACATCGATAATAGATTTCATGACGTATACACGCGTGTACAGTCATATATTTTAATTTTAGAAGTGAGTTTATGTTTATAAATATATTTTGTTTTACTATTTTATAGTTCTTTTATCGTTTTAAAATGATAAATTTACACTTTAACAATAAGTACCTACTTTAAAACATTAAATTGTTTAAGTAGTTCTAACTGATAATAAAACCCAAAACCATATTATGGAATCGTTATTATTTACTTATCATAAAAAAATAATCTTTTTCTTTTCCAGAATTATATAGTTATTTTGTATTATTCAAATGAATTTTCATAAAATGTTGGTAAAATAGTTAAAGTTATTTAATTTTAATTTTCAATAATAAAATAATTTCCTACAATTTGATCATCAATCAATTTAGATTATTATTATTATTATTATTATATTCATTAGCTCTTCGCAGATATATTTAAAATACTACATATTGTATAAAAGTATTTAATAATAAAATACGAATATCAAAGTATTCTTTTTACATTTAAAAATAAAAGTTTTCTATTAATTAACACTAAAGTAAAAATACTCAATAATATTGGACTTATATTAACATTTCTTATCAAATAATTATCGTATACAATTTTTTTTTTATTTGTGTAGCCGATAACGTTGCACATGCTTGACTTATATTTACTAAATATATTTTATGTTGACTAACTTATTTTTTGATAATTAACCAAACATTAGTGAGTTCAAATATTAAGAAAATATTATTAAAATAAAATATATATATATATATATTTTTTTTTTATTGAAATCGTATGAAAATTAAAGTCATTACACAGTTTGAAGTTTAAATTTAAATCATTAGTATTTTTAGTATAATATATAAATTAAACACTTAGTTTTTTTATGAGAGCGCATAGAAATAATTGCATTACCTATCGAACAGCTAATAACATTTAGGTACATAACACACCCGTATTACGTTGTTTTCATTTATGGTAATGGTAATTATATAAGAATTTTTATACCTTCATTATAAAATATTTACTGATCACAGGACGACTGAAATTGTGTGTCACATAAAAAGAATTATGTTGAGTTGCTGTGAAATCAAATCCGTTTTATGATATTACACATCGATATTAATCATTCAATATGAAAATTATTTTTTCATTTTATTTTGTGGTATATTTCATTCTGTAAGCTTAATAATATACAACCAATTATTTAATTAATAATATGCTAATCCTTTTTATAGGTAGGTACCATCTGTTTTATGTAAATAGACACTAATTGCGAGTACATACTTACATATACTTATTTATTACATTATTCATACATATTTTATTAGATATTATATGGCATTTATTATTCTTTCAATCAGTTTCCTAACCCTAAATCTATGTATACATTTGTATTATACACACACCTGTATATATATATATATATATATATATATATATATATATATATATATATATATATATATAGGTTTTTATGTTATTTTTTGCAACATACTTGTATGCAAATTAATTAATAATTATTGTACAATATTGTTCTACTGACTAATAACTTGATTAATATTTTATCAAAAAGAAAAAAATATATAATAGCAAATCAAGTAATTTTAATTCAATACTAAAAAAAAAATTAACTATATTGCATAAAAATAGCATAAAAAATACATTAGTTTATACCAATAGGCAGGGCCGGATTGGCCCGGCGAGTTACCGAGCAAAACTCGGTGGACCGAATTTGTCCAATCCGGCCTTGCCTAAAGATGTATAGTATTATATTTGATCTATAGATTTAGTAGTATATATATATATATATACTACATTTAAAACAACTTTGAATACATAGACGTAGCCAAATTTTGTGTTTAGAGTATGTAAGAAAACTATAGCTATGTGTACAAAAGTGTACTTAGAATTTTATTTCAAGAAAAGTGGTGTATGTAGATGATCGACCTTAGTAACCTTAGTAACACGTAAACAATTCCGTTTGTACTCCTGCAGGTTAGTAAATGATGTACCCCCTTCTCTATCCCAAAACACTTATGTTAAACTTGTCAATTTAATTATTTAGTACGACCTTTATGAAAGATTTACTATCGATAGTTATTGACAGTTCAATCATCATAATTTAATTTTGTCTTTTTGTTTTATTTAAGATTTTTTACTTTTAATAAGGGTATTATTTAACTTTTTAGAATATTTTACATTCAAATTTGATTTTTATTTTACTTATAAATTATTACCTCACTAAAATATCTTTTACTACAGAATTCGGAAAATTCATTAATGTAAAATAAAAATGTATATTATATTTGGCTGTACATTAAACGTGAACACTTGGTTTTCTATGTAAACGATTATTGACACTACTTCTGTGACCTATAGGTGTATGAGGTTTATATACACACTAAGAATTTGTTTTATAGAGAAATTATTTTGTATATTTCATGGATTTGTTTATACACTGTGAGACATTGTATATTTTATGGATTTGTGTACACAGGGACGGTGCGAGGGGGTGGGTAATAGGGGTAGTTGCTCAGGGCCCCGCGCCTTAAATTATAATTAAGGCCCCGTGGTTCTAATATAACTGAACTTAAAATATTTTATTAATATAAACTATAAGACCAAAATTTATTTTTCCCAGAGCCTCGCAAACTCTAGCACCAAACCTGTGTGTACACTTTATGTAAATTATTACTCGTATATTATATGAGCGCTTGGGTAATCTATGTAATTTTTTTGATTTGGTATATCATGCTTATCAAAATTGCAAAGAAAAATAATGTGAAGCAAGACGATGGAACATAATTAGTCATACTTTGAAAATGAGGACGTCCAAGACAGGATCGTCGTACTCAGGAATTTTTCATGGGGGGAGGGGTCCAACATTTTTATTTATCTGTTCTCTAATTATAATTATAGTTTAACTCAATACCAACAAATTACTGTTAATAACTATGGGTATGGTTTATACATTATGGATATATTATATAATCTATAAACTTTGTATATTGATCGGAATGGGAAATTAAAATACACTATATACTATTATTATACTATTTATTATTAAACCGTTGAGTATGTAGAAATTTCAATGAAGAAGGGGGTCTGGACCCGAAACCCCCTCTCTTTGGGTACGCCCTTGGTTCAATAACTTCATTTGTCAAATAAATAATTTCCGATGCAAGAATATTAAGCTAAACTGAATTAAAGAGATTGGTTGAAAACAGGGAAGAGTGGAAAGCGCAAATATGACTGCAAAACCAACCTTAAGGTTGAATAAAAAAAGTGAATAATTCATGACTTTCCCATCTTGGATATTTGACGATAAATTATTATTATAAAAAAAATTTACAGTCAAGATAAAATTAAAAATTAATTTCTGTATAACTCAGGATGGTTTTTCTAATAACTGGAACTCGTTATTTTTCTTTGCGCCTTCGTATCAAGTCATTTATGACATATGAACCTTTTTTCTTCTGGGGAGGTGTGATGGAAACCCAGAACCCTACTTCCCATATACGCTACTGCATCCCCCAAACATAAGCTATCATATGAGTACGATACGAAATTGGCACAACAATAATAATATTCAACAAAATCAGTCAATTTAGGTACCTACCGAATGAATTTTACACGAAAAAATTCCTAGCCCATTGCTAAGCATCCGTAATTCGTTTACTATTCGACCAATAATGAAGTACCTATATGATTATAGCGGCGATGAATTGTCCGGCTAATATAATACCATTTGTTTTATTCATTTAACCCGACGTGTTTGAATTTTGGCGGTATGAATCGGCTACTCATCGTCTGCAGTGGCGGCGGCCGCGGTCGCAACGGTAGCGTTGGTGGCGGCAAAGTTAGCGTCGCCTCCGTTTTTAGGTTATGTACGGCGACTACGGCGACGGCGGGTGACCGACACGGCGTGTTGTGCGTCGGTTGGCTGAATGGTCGGGCCAATCGCCGCTGTCCATCTGTCTTGACTTCAAAAATACGACGTGCGATAATTCCGGTTGCCGTCGTCGTCACCAGTGCCCGCGTACGCATTATACTTTAACTCCTGTATGTGTGTGTCCGTGTTCACTTCTTCATTGCGACTCTAGGTGGTGTTCCGTTGTATTCGTTTTCCACTCGTCCCTTCGCTTTTCCGTCTGCCGAAGAATCGTCTCTACACAAACTCCGTGTACTCGTTCGCTGTTCATCGGACACAATCTCAACCATGAAAACACCGTTGAAACTGGCGCTGTGCGCGCTGTTTTGCTTATCCACCGCAGCCCTGGTTGTCAACGCAGAAATTTACTTCGAAGAAAACTTCGCCGACAGTAAGTGGCCGCCCTATTTTTTCCCCTCAGTTTTCCCTTTTCCAATATTTGCCGGTCGACGTGTCGTTGGTGTCGGGTGTTTCTGACAATGGTTTTTTCACAGGTTCGTGGGAAGACGAATGGACGTACTCGGAACACCCCGGAAAAGAGTTCGGTAAGTTCGTCCACAGCTCGGGCGCTTTCTTCAACGACGCCGAGGCTGACAAGGGTATACAAACGTCACAGGACGCCCGGTTCTACGCACTGTCCAAGAAGTTCATCCCGTTCAGCAATGAAGGCAAAAATCTCGTCATCCAGTACACCGTCAAACACGAACAGAACATTGATTGTGGTGGTGGATACGTCAAACTGTTCAACTGTGATCTGGAACCTAAGAAAATGCACGGTGAAACCCCTTATGAGATCATGTTCGGTAAATATTCTCAATTTCTTATTTTCTTTGTGTATTGTGTTTTATAATATTATAAATCTTTAATTTTTTTCTTTTAAATGAGTTGTATTGAAAATATTTGGTCTCCAATAGAAAAACACAATAACTGTTAAAACACATATTGTGATTTTCAAACTGTTATAACATATTGGTTTTGGAGGTAATTCACTTGCATCTCTGCTTTAAAAGTACCTATATTCCAATTAAATTAGTAGGTTCCAATATTATTAAAGACAAATTTCAGTTGACAAATATTATGTAATCCACTGCACATTATAAAATCAATTGCTTTATAAATTAACTATTTGGTCATTTATACCCATTCAATATAGTCCTGCTAAATTTTAATTAAATCAATAAATATTTAATAAAAAAAAAAAAAAAGTTGATTGTAAATTATGAATCAATGATTAAATATTTTAAATGAAACATTTTTGTGGTTTACCTGTATAATAAGTCACTAATTTGGTATTGACTTTTGACAGTGTATTTCAATAGTGATATTGTAGTCTAATATTTTTTATAAATAATATTAAGCAAAATCGGTCTTAGATATATTGATTAATAATGGTATTTTCTATTACTATAAATGTTTCTGTGCTATAGATATTTTATGATACAGATAAGTGAAAGTTTCATGTAAATGAAAGTAGTATTTGAAATAAGAATATATCTCAATGTATAAAACTACACTGATAAAAGTAAAATTACTATAGTCATATTTTTAACAATACTGAAATTTAAGAATTTCCATTGATCTGCTTCAATATTATTAATACTGTTAATGAGTAATTTTTTCTTTTTTTTGCTACTTACTAATCTATGAGTGATTAAAAGTTGTTTAATTGCGAATGTTCAGTCCTTATATTGATCAAATTGATTACTTTTTAACACACTTATTATTATAACAATGATTCTATTAGGATTTGCCATTTTTAATTCTTATTAAATACTTTTAATAGATAAATTAATAATCTTTTAATAATTGGATGATATTGAATGTTGATTCAATGTTTTATATCAATAATACTTTTGGTTTATTAAAGATTATTAGTTTTATTAATATAATTTCTTAGAATTTGTAATTATACTATGTTTGTTTTAACAATTATTTAATAACTACTAAGTATAATGGACTATATTGAGCACTTAAATTGTACTTAAGTACAAATTAAAAATTAAGTGATATTTTGATGTGCAAAATGGTCTAAAGATTTAAAGTACATGGATATATTTAAACTCTATTTAATAATAATCAAATAAATTTTAAAATGCATCTACTATTAATTGAAAATGAATCTTTATCATTACTAAAGTTTATTTTTTATCATAATCCATAGATTGATTGTTTTAATTATATTTATATATTCTAATTCATACTTAAAACTAAATAAAGTTTAAAATTAGGAAATATAAATTAAAAATAAAATATTTGTTTATTTTAGGACCGGACATTTGTGGTCCAGGTACAAAGAAAGTGCATGTTATCTTTAGCTACAATGGCAAGAATCTGTTAATCAATAAAGATATCCGTTGTCGTGATGATGTCTATACTCATGTATACACACTTATTGTTAAGCCTGATAATACTTATGAAGTCTTGATCGATAATGAAAAGGTAGAATCTGGTGAATTAGAAGCCGACTGGGACTTCTTACCACCCAAGAAAATCAAGGATCCTGAAGCTAAGAAACCTGAAGATTGGGATGAAAGGGCAACTATTGATGACCCTAATGATGAGAAACCAGAAGATTGGGATAAACCAGAACATATTCCTGACCCAGCAGCCACCAAACCAGAAGATTGGGACGATGAAATGGATGGGGAATGGGAACCAGCAATGATAGATAACCCTGATTTCAAAGGCGAATGGAAACCAAAACAGATTGATAACCCTAATTACAAGGTATGTTTTATTTTTTTTTAAAAATATTGTACAAAATGTCATAATTAACAGATAATTGTTTTAGGGAGTATGGGTACATCCAGAAATTGACAACCCAGAATACAAACCTGATGACAAATTATATGCAAGGAAAGAAATTTGCGCTATTGGTTTTGACTTATGGCAAGTGAAATCTGGTACTATTTTTAACAATGTTTTGATTACTGATGATATTGAAGTTGCTAAAGAAAAAGCTGATGCTATCTGGAAGCCTAGATTTGTAAGTTCATTGTGCTTTTATACCAAATATAATTTTAAAATATAATTTATTTTTTTTTAGGAAGGTGAAAAGAAAATGAAGGAGGCTTTAGATGAAGAAGAAAGAAAGAAGGAAGAACAAGAAGCTAAGAAATCGGAGGATGCTCAACCTGAAGAGGAAGATGAAGAGGATGACGAAGAACTTGTTAAATCCGATGAAGCCCATGATGAATTATAAAAAAAGACTGTATTATGTCATTGTTTAAGTTGATATATGATTATAATTTTACTGTATAATTTATTTTGAATTTTATCCGACCAGTTTAGGACTGCCACATATTGTTTTTCATTAAGCACTCACTCACACCTATTATTATTATTTTTTTAACGTGGTGTGCGATTTATGTTGATTTTGTTCCCTAACCCTTTTCTATTATTCTTTTCATGAATTCATTTTCAATACCTTCGTTAAATTCATTCTACTTAATACATTCTCATCTTAAAGTTCAATATATCTCAAATTATCTTCTTATTAATTCTACATACTTATTTTTCATCAATAATAAATATGTATGGCTTTGTAAGTTAGTTGTTCTGTAACAGAAGAAAACCACACTACTTAAGGTTTATACTATTTTAATAAAAAAATATTTGTGTATAAAATAAAAATTTATAGGATAAAAAAATAATAATGTGTTTTATTTTCTCCTTTAATCTTATCATCCTGTATAAGACATAAGTGGTATATTTATTAAATTTGTATGATTGCAACTAATATAGAATAATGTATTGTTTATAATTACAGAATTTAACTTTATTTTTTTTATAAAAAATATTATTTACCATTCATTTTTGATGAGCTAAATTTGTAATAATTTATTAATTTTAAGTTGTTATATTTACCTAAGAACTTTTCCTTAATAGTTAGCTTAGATTTGTCATTTTGTAGTTTTATACTATAATGTTAAGTATTCAAAAAATATACATATGTATTAAATATATTTATTTATAACTTTCATACTTGAGTGTATATTTTACATAAAAAATATTTCCCGAGATTAATTTATTATACTAAATGGTTTTATAATTCATAGTTATTTCCAAATTGGTGCTGATCTTGAGTTAATAGATTTTACCTTCTAAGAATACAACTACTATTTGTTATTTCATATATGTAATTTTATTTGAATTACACTTATTACTAAATAATACCATATCTTATATATACCATATACTTATATTTCATTTTCCGTTGAAATAGAAAATAAAGTCGTTTAAATACCTTTTGAATTTATAACTTAATTCTTATTAGAGGGAAATATGTTGTACATAATATAGAACTATTTTCTTTCCATTACTATTCTATATTATCAGTAAACTGTATATTATAATAACCTTTTTATTTATCTTATTTTATTCTTCTAAAGGTTAAGGTGGGCAGTTTAAAAGTGCCAATCAGAGTTGGGCGTTATTCGAATAAAATTTTATTTAGATGATTATTTAGATAACATTTTATTCGAATAAATTATTATTCAAATGATTTTTTCACTATTATTCGACTAATTTACAAATACAAAAAGTAAGTCGATGGGCCTATGTATAAATGAAAATAAAACCAAGTATATGTTGATGTCAAGAAATAATCAGAATACAAACGATCTTTTAATTAGTAGCATGAAATTCGAAGCTGTAGATAATTTTAAATACCTTGGAGTAAATGTCAATAATAAGAATAATATGCATCAGGAAGTGAATGAAAGAATTATGAGTGGAAACAGGTGTTATTACAGCATAGTCAAAATACTAAAATCAAAATTACTTTCAAGGACATCAAAAATTCTTCTATATCATAGCTACTTGCGCCCAATTGTAACCTATGCTTGTGAGACCTGGTCCATAACAAAAGGCGATGAAAGGAAACTAATAATATTTGAGAGAAAAGTACTCCGTAATATCTATGGACCACGTTTCAACCAAGAGACCAATACCTACGAAAGAAGAACAAACGATGAATTACAGAAATTGTACAAAAGACCAAATATCCTAGCATTTATTAGAAACAAACGACTAGAGTGGTTTGGACACACTTGGAGAGCAGATGATCTATTAATAAAAAAAGTACTTGTTGAAAAAATTAACAAAACAAGGCCCCTAGGAAGACCAAGAACCCGGTGGATAGATGTGATAACCAGAGACTTGAAAGAGATAGGCCAAAATGTAACTTTTGAGCTGACGTACAACAGAGAGAGATGGCGAGACCTCTTGAAGGCAGCAATGGTTCTTAACGGACTGGTAAGCTGAGAAGAAGAAGAAGAATTTACAAATACAATTATTCGAATAAATTATTATTCGACTAATTTTCAAACTCAATTATTCGAATAAATTATTATTCAAATAAAAAATTATTTGAATAATTTTTGGAAAAATTTAAAAATATTGTATAATAAAAAACAAATATTGATTTATATAAGAAAGTAAAGAAATATATATATATATATATATATATAATAATATTTGAATGTGTAGAGCTCTATATATTTGAACTTATAAATATGAAATACAACATTGAACATACATAGTTAGTACATAGTACGAAAATATCTGAGACTATATAATATAGTACAGAAACTGGACTAAACTAGATTTAATAATAACATCTTCAATATTGATAATTAATTACTATAAAGGTAAATACTAAATACATGAACAAACTAGAAGAATTATAATCATTATTTCATAATACATATTTAGTAATTAGTACTAACTACTACTATAAATACTAAGATAGGATAACTATGTTTAAAAATTATTCAAATAATATTATGATCACAAATTATTCCAATAATATTGTTTCTAAATTAGTCGAATAATTGTATTTGAAAATCAGTCGAATACATTTTTATTCGAATAATTGTATTTGAAAATTAGTCGAATAAATTTTTATTCGAAGAATTGTAAAAAAATCAATCGAATAATTTTTTATTCGAATACATATTTATTCGAATAATTATCTAGATAAAATTTTGCCCAACTCTGGTGCCAATATGTTTTTGAACAAGGTACTACAATAAGTATTACATATTTTTTTTATTTTATTTGTTTTCTTTAATCACATAATTTGATTACTTAACCGTTTATAATTCTTAGTGGTTAACTTATAAGTTATCTAAAGACATATTTGAGAGATTTATATGTTTGACTTGAAAAATGCAGGTCATTATCAAAAGGAAATCAAGCTTTCTATAGTAATGTGTTAAAAAATATGGGCTATTATTTAATTAAATGATCGAAAAAAAAAATGAAGTATAGTGAATTTGGTTTGAAAAATCTTATATTAAGTTATAATTGTGTAGTAACTAAATATTTTTAACGGTTTTTTTTGTGTGAAATGAAACTTAATTGAATCGGTCATTTCGAAAAGTCCATATTTCCATGAAATAAAAATTGTCAGGAAACGTGAAAAACGATGATTTTGGAGATCAAAATTAAATTTAGACAAAAATTGAAAAATTGTTAAATTATTTAATTCCCTTATATAAAACCAACTATGATGATATGGCGGTATCGCAGGAAATATGCATTATTATTGGTTAAAACAACTGTCATATAAAACTAGTTTTGAAAATGTGTGGAGAAATGACCGATTCAATTTTGATATAAACCTAAAAACAATGGAAGTGTATTATTATTATTATTATTATTATTATTATTATGTATTATTATCAATAAATATATTTTGTTGACACAATGTGATAAATAACAAAAAAAAGTAAATAAAATTAGTTCCTACTCCCATTTTCATCTATAGAGAAGATGTATAAAATAAGATATTAACTTAAAATACGAGTACAACATTTAAATGTACCTACCATAGATAGACATAATAACTAAAGTTAGATATTATATCTATGGTATACATTCATTGATAAATAAAATCAAAATAATCGCCTCGTGAATATAGTAGTTTCGCGACATATTTATTAAATGTTTCTTGTAAGTCTGATCGAAACTACTTAGGAATTAAGATGAATACACACTTAAGTAATTTATACTTTAATGTTCGATCTAATATTATGAAACTCGTATTAATCTATTTAAATAATTTACTATACACTTCGAAGACTTAGAGATTTAGCTCCCATAGCAAATTGCTTCAGGTACCTATGTCCATACCCGTCTCCAATTTCAAGTTAACCCAATAACATAGGCGGACATCGAGGGGAGCTTTGGAGGCTTAGCCCCCCCAAAATCGAAACTTTGTTAGAAATGTTATTCGTTGTTTTTATAATTGACTGTTTGTTTTTTTTGAAAATCGTAAAATAAGAAACAATAAAAAATTATTTATAATAGCATTAACAATACCAATTAGTTCGGCTACTTGTGAAAGTTTCAGTTAAATGATAAAAATAAAAACTTGGCTAAGGATATCGTTAGTTCAAGATAGGTTCAGCAATCTTTCAATACTATATATTGAAAAATATAAAAAGTGATGATATTTTGAATGTCTTTGCTGATACAAATAGATATTTGTCATTAAAATAAAATATTAATTATTTTTTAATATACGTTATTTATTGTTTTTTTTAATACAATTTAAACATATCTATATTTTTAATAGTAATAAGTTAACTTGTGCACTTAAAGGGGGTGTGGGGGCAAAGCCCCTGCGGGTTATTTTACATTGATTTATTTTAGCCCCCCCCCCAAAAAAAAAAATTCAACCAAATGTTCGCCTAAGCTCAATAATAAACATTATAAAAACATGATTGATGATATCTTAATTTATGCTGTTCTATATGAAATTACTTGTCCTATCAGACAGAGGTCAGCTGGGTCGCTGTAGATGAGTATGACAAGAAATGTCTTTTAATAAAATTAATTTCGATACTAATATACATTATTTATACAATTGAACAATCATCAATTACTATAAAAATGGTAAAAAATATGGTAATAAATAATTTTAATAATGAACAATGTTGTTTTTTATTATTTATTTAATACATAATAATTTTAAAAAAATGTAAGAAATATTAATATGATTTAGTAAAATGCAATGATTAAATTAGTTTAATATAAGGACTAAAAAATAGAAGTTAATTACTGTTATAGGTTTTAGATAAAGCTGTAGGTAGAACAGAAAATAATAAAATAGATCTTTTTTTTATTTTATTAATCATTAAAAAAAAAGGACATAAATGTACCATAAATCAATAAAAGTTTAAGATTGAATCATAATTTATAATACTGCTAAAAAATAATAAACTTCAACTTATACTATTTAGTGGTCCAAGTATTGTAATTAAGCTTTCCAATTGTACTACCGAATGTTTTTCTTGAGTTTGTTGATGCACAGTTTTCAATATATTATTGTAAAACGTCTCTCTTAGTTTTACAAACCGAAAAAAAGACTGTTCCATATTGAAGAACTCGGAGTGTAACCGTTCTGAATTTTCAATGTAAAATTGACCACTTGCTAAGGCTTGGTAATAGACTAATATTTCTATGTATATCTTATTCAGCAAAATAAGTTTATCTTTACAACCAACAACCATTAAACACCTATAAAAAAATAAACATTATTAAAGAAATAAAAAAAATATTATTGGTAATATAAAAAGGGTGAAACTCCTAGGTCTGGCAAGATTATGGTTGTGAGGTATAGAAACCGGCAAATAATAAAACTGTATTGATTTTTGGATTTGAAAATAATGTACCTTTGCTCTTAAAAAAAACGATTCTGAGTAACTGGTAAATTTTGACTATTTTTTACTTTTCATCAGATTTTTGCAATTATAAAGAACATTTTTTAGGGAATTTCTTAAAATTAAACCCTTAGATTTAGATACGTCAACATTTTTTTTTATCAGAAATTTTCTTTAATCATGAAGATCCTAATAACAATCTTTCTAGTAGAAATTGTGTATATAAAAAAAAAACATAAAAAATCATACCATAATAAAAACAATACATATTCCTAGTTACACTGAGAATCCATAATGTTAGATTAATCATAAAAAATATTATACATTTTATATTTAAAAAAAAATATATATAAAAGATAAGTTTTAAAATCATACTAACCGCTTTAACATAAGATGCATGTACTGTTTATGACTCGAATATAAATCATCATAATTTTGGGCTTTTTCAAAGCTCTCATTTAATTCAGTCCAACATGTGCTAATTACTATTTGTTTGTAGTACTGTTGAATTGATGATACAAATTGATTCATCCAATGTTTGAAAAGATTAATCTAAGAACAAAGTTTACAAAATAAAATAAAAATACATATACTACAAATTCAAATCAAAGTTACAAACAAAATTACTTTTTTTTCTTCTAATGGCATCCATTATAACCATAGAAAAAATTGATAGATTATAAATAAACTTATTAATTTTAACTTTATTTATAATATAAGTATTGTGAAGTAAACTATTTTATATTTATATTTAAATATTTACTTTACGAAATTGTAAACCTGTATCATTTTTAAATACATTCAATAATTCTCTGGCTTTAAATAAACTCCATGAAACATATTCTAATTTATTAGCAAACAAAAATATCCGTTTGTACTTCAATAATACTTTGTTAGGTAGAATCATATTCATTGGCCATTCTGGTGAATATTTTAAATCCAGACATTCTATGTCCTAAAAAAATATTATTTTTATATTTACCAACAAAAATAATAAAGTAAATTATTCAATTATTTTACTGAAATTTCAATAACTCCATTCAACCGAGGAATAAATGTATTTTCCAATGTTAAACCATGTTGCCAATTTTCTGAAAAACTATCTTGAATAGCTTCATCCACAATAGACTTTAATTTAATTGAATTGAAAATGTTTACAGGGTTCTGTCTATTAGTAGCTATATCATTAAACAATGTCTCTCTCAGTTTAGAAGTAAATTGGCAATTCATTAAAAAAAAGCACTGAGATAAAAAATATAAATGTCCCATTAGATTTTCTTGTACAAAATACATGTCTAATATTTGTTTATCACAGACACTTTTCTGAATGCGAGCTGGTATCAGAATTGAATGTGGTACATAGTCTATCATGTTAATAACATCAAAAGGTTTGTCATTATAAGTTAATGAATCATTCAAATCTAAAAAAAATCCGTATGGCTTATCAAATTCATATGAATTATTAATTGAAGTCCAATCAGGTATTTGAAACAATTCATAGTTTTCATTATCAGAGTACATTAGTTTCATAGTTTCTTTAACATTAGTTATATTATCATTTTGAATATCATCAATATCTGTAAATATAAAATATTATATTAATAAGTATCAAATATAAATGAAAAAATTTAAACAATAATAATTTAGCTGATAAAGTTGTTAATTTTTATTTTAAATCAGATTACAATTTTAGAACTAAAACTTCAGTCAGCAAAACACCAAAATGTATACAAGAAAAAATTTGAAATTAAAATTGTAATACAATTTGACCCAAGTACTAAGTCCAAAGTTTATGAACATATTGAATTACTTTAATCCGATAACGGTTGTATCGCAGTGTTTAAATGCACCTTTGGTAATTTTTTATTTCAAGTTATCAATAATATTAGGATAACTACTATTTCTATATCATATACTTATAAACATACTGCAATAGTTATACATTTTATTTATACATGTAAATTCACCAGTAATTAATCATTCAATATAAGTTGAGTGCACATTATTGGATGTTAGTGTGGAGTTAACACTGCAGCACATCTAAAATTATTTTACATTTTATTGTAAATAAACTGGAGACATTATAATTTAAGTAACATGTTCTACAGAAAATTGATTTATATTCCATGTTGAACTATATCTATATAAAATAACAAAACTGGTGTAATATGCAATAACTGCATAATCCAAGTCTATAAGCATTACATTAGTGTACAACAAGTAAAATGCAATGAAAGACTACATCAAAATAAAAGACGAAGAAGTATAGTATAGTTCCTTGATTTAAAAATAAATTTTCATTCAGTTCTTTTATTAAAAAAATAAATAAACAATTATAAAAGTATTTTACTTAATAATACAGTAATAATGTTTAACAATACATTTTTTAAGTCAAATTTTAATTTTTTTAATACATATGACATTAGATTTAAATAAAGTTATTTAGTTAATTTAAGTGTTTGATAATATCTTTATAAATTATTCCTAACATATTTTATGCAAAATAAAATATAACATTACACTAAAAATAAAAATAAAATAGTGAGGTAAACACTGCAGCATTATAGCTAATGAGATAAATAATAAATAATAAATAATAATTATAATAATAATAATAATTATTAATTATAATTAATTAATAAATAATAATTATTATTAATTACATAGTAAATAAAAATACATGATAAAACCATGAAACCTGCATAATTAAAGATGCCAACGGTTGCTTGATTACAGAGGAATCAAATATAGTTGAACAAATCCGGAGCCATTTTGAAGAATTACTAAGCAGCACTAACGAAAATGGTAACCGAGAGGAAGATCAAGAACTTCCCATTTACTACTCTGTGCAGCCAGAATCACCAGAACCGGATTATGAAGAAATAACATGGATAATTAAATCGCTAAAAAACAATAAGGCTTCGGAGCCCGGGGATGGACAATATCAATGTTGAATTAATTAAAACAGCTACCTCAAAATTGATATTAAAGATATGACTTTTGATCAAAGAAATATGGAAAAGTCCCTAACGATTGGAAAATAGCAATCATTTACCCAATTTATAAAAATGGTGACCCGATGGAAGCAGCTAACTATAGAGGAATTTCATTTTTAGATACCTGTTATAAAGTTTTGTCTATGGCAATCCTGCAAAGGCTGGAAGTATATGCTAACTGCATAGTTGGAGACTATCAAAGCGGCTTTATGAAAGGGAAATCTACCACATACCCTAGATTTATTATTAGGCAATTGTTGGAAAAGTACTATAAATATAGTAGAGAAGTCCATCTTTGCTTTGTAGACATCAAACAGGCATACAGCAGTATTATAAAGCAAAAATTATGGGTAACACTGAAAGAATTTGGTATACCAACCAAATTAATCTAGCTGATGAGTGCAATACCAAAACATACTGTGAAGTAAAAGTAGCAAATATAAACTGAAAGTTTTGAAGTCAGAGCTGGCCTAAGACAAGGAGATATGCTTTCCCTTGTACTTTTCAATCTGGTGTTAGAAAATGTAATTTGATCCCTACCCATTAGACAAAGTATGGTAATTCTGGGATAGTATACTATCTTTGCATATGCAGATGATATTGTTATAATTGGTAGATCCCAGAATGAAGTAGAAAAGCAGACTTAATAAATGCAGTAGAACCGATTGGATTAAAATTTAATCAAGAAAAGACTAAATATCTAGTACATAGTATAAAAAAAGGCGAGAGTTCAGGATGACTTGCAAGTGAATAGATATGTCTTCCAACAAGTAACAGATTTTAGTTACTTAGGAACTAACATAAACTGTTAAAAAAATATGCACAATGAAATTAAATTGAGAATTACATTAAGGAATTTTGAAAATAAGGGATATTATGCACTTGCAAAGTTGTTTAAATCAAAGCTACTGTCTAGAAGGTCAAAAGAATACCTATACGTCAGCTTTCTATGGCCAGTTTTGACGTATGGATGTGAAACCTGGGCAGTGACTAAGGGAGATGAGGAGAAAATTAACATCTTTGAAAGAAAAATACTACGTCTATTTTATGGCCCTATAATGGAGAATAGAGAATATAGAAGGAGGACTAACCAAGAAATGAACTAAATTTTAAACAAATGTTTAATAAACCCATTACTATTTCGTATCTAAAAAGCAAAAGGTTAGAATGGGTGGGTCATGTTTGGAGGTTGGAAGGTATGACAACAAACATGTTTACCGGAAGACTGAACGGAAAAAGGCCCAAGAGGTAACCAAGACAAAGATGGGCAGACAGGGTAAAGACAGATCTCACAGAAATCTCAAATAAAGCAAGAATTGAAGACATTAATGAAAGAGATAGGCGAAGAGGAGTGGTTGAGGTAGAGAAGGTCCTAAATGGACTTTAAAGCTAGAAAAAAGAAGAATTAATTACATAGTGGGAGCCACTTGCATTATTATTGCATTATTCAAAACTGAGATGTCTAAACAATACTTATTGAAAAATAAACTATTAGATAGTCAATTAATTTTAAATTACATTTTTAATATTTTGTATACTACCAATAAATGTATAATATTATCTATTAACTATTTTGAATTACCAGAATTTCTTTTCGGATTAACAAGTTTATCAGCAGTTTCAAAAAGGTAACTATTGGACATTCTTTTAACAGAGCTAGATGTTTGGAAATCAGAGTCATATTTAAAAAACATAGAAAATTGTTCGTAGATGTTTTGTGTATCAATAGCATCAAAACAACAAGTTAAATCAGGTAAAAATACATTCTGAAAAAAAAACAAGATAACTAAGATTTAAAAAGGTAAAATACTAAATGTATTTCACAAATTGTAATTAATATAAATACTTACCACATCATTGAATTTATTAAAGAAATTTATGGTTTTACCACATTGTAAAATATTTTTTTTGTATTTGTCTAAAAACATTGGAACTTCAATACTTTCATCTATAATAAAACGATCCCAATTTTGCCGACAGTTATTATCTTCATCTACAATATCTGGTTTTAATTTTATGAATATGCAAGATTCATCATTATTTAAAACACCTTTTAATGCCCAATTCGATAAAATTCTAAAATATTTTTAAAAAAATAATTTACATATAATATAACTCATAATAACAACAAACCTTAAATAAGCAAAACAGCACGATTGAAAAATATATAATAACATCCTTAGGAATAGATCACAGGAAAATCGATATTCAAACAAATAATTATGAATTTTGTTTAACAAATGTACACCAGAAGGTTCATGATCTTGGATGTAAATACAATTAGGGTTATTCATGCCACAAATATTTGCTAACAACTGTAATCGAGGAATTATATTAGACACTCGACCCACAAGTGACAACATTGACTCATTTGAAACAGCATATATTGTTTGTTCATAATCATTCATTATATTAGACATAGCAAATATAAAGGCCTAAAAATAAAAAATGTATAAAAAAAAAAAGATATGGTATTATTATTAAACACAGTAAACATGAAATATACTTTAACTATACTATCATCACTTTTTTCTTTCCATTTCGTTACAGTATTGCATATTATTTTATATAAATTAGAACACTCTAAAATAGGATCTGTGGCAGATTCAAACATTTCAGGTGTTAGTCCATTAATACTGATATTCCCATTTCGCTTATACATATGTGTTTCCTAAAAATAAATATCAAAGATACAGTTAGTTAATTCCTTTTTTTTTTTTTTTGTACTCCAAAATTACACTAAAAAGTAAATACATTTAAACAAAACTCTTCTAAAATCAATTTCTTCTAATAAGATTCAATTAGGAGAGCTTCGAAGAAATTGATTAAGTATAATATACAATCTTCTCCATCTATTTCATTATGAGTCATTACCAAAACACCCTACTACATCCAAACCATACCATATATACAGATTTGAACATTCTAACAGTCACCAAAGTAGCCATTTCATCTTCAAAAATATTTTTTGCATACGCATTGCAAACCATCCAAATCCTCTAATACTTGACCTTAATTCTTACATTATCTTAGGTAATCCACCAAGAAAGTTAAAGACAAACTAGTGTTGAGATTTAGCTTAAAGTAAAAAAAAAATAATAATAATTAGCCAAGAGTGCTACGACTGGGTAATTTCTTTTAATCAAATCACTCATGTCATCAATACAAAAAATATCAAACTAGCTTATTGTAAAAAAAAACTTACACATTGTATGCATTTTAATAAATAAATAAAAAAAAATATACTATAGATACAGCAACTATACTAATTACGACTTTTGGTATAATTAAAAAAATATGCCCCTCATCCATATCTGGACACTACATAGAAACTGTACTTTAATAAATTGAAATCAAACTATTTTTAATTTCGGTTATACAGGCTGCAAAAGAAATGTTTATGTACAATAATGTGTACAAAGCAAAATCAATTATTGTTCAATCTCTGTTAATAATTATTATAACAAATTGGTTTTCTTTTCTTCCTTTTTTAAATTACTTAATTTTTATCATTGGGCCTTATTACATGGGCTCGTGTATTTGACACAAAAAACTCACCCAGTTATCGCAGCACTGAATATGTATCACAATAAATCTTATTGAATAAGGTACAAAAAAATTATAAAATATTGATTACTTTTTAGAACTTACTTCATCCACAAAAAAATAAGTTGTACCCATATTAATCAGCATTAGTTTAATATCTTTCATAATACATCCACTGTTTATTTCTCTTTGGGGAAAATATGTTTTAATGTTATGATCACGTACATTTGTCGCTGTGACAATACACCAAAAACAATAAGCTGAACTTATATTTTCTTCAGTGTTTTCTTTTGAAATAGAAGATTTTTCAGATGTATTTGATTTATTTACTTCTGTATTATCAATTCTAATACAATTTTCCTTCTAAAAATATTAACTAATATTAGGTATTTACAAAATATTCAACAAAAAATTCTTTTTATTTTTATGAATCTATAAATATTTTAACTAAAATTAATGGAGAAATATTAATACACTTTAAATATAAACTTTTTATAAATTACCTCTGACGATAATTCCTGTAACAATTTATCATTTGAAATTGAATTATTTTTTTCTTGTTTCACATTGTCACTAAAACATAAAACTTCAATAAGAAAACAATTAATAAAAATTACAATAAAAATATTACCTATTATTAATCTCTAAATTCTGTATACAATCAATATGTTGTATATCTGATAGGCTAAATACACTTGTGTAATTGCTATAAAACAAAATCATAAAAAAAAAGAAAATAACATAAAACAAATAATAAATAAGACAAAATAACTATTAAATAATATGTATATAAAAATATTGTACTACTATATGAATAATTTTTTAATATCAAAGAAAAATAAAATAAAACGTTTAAAACATGCAGTTAAATGAAAAAAATAATTTTAAAAATAAACTTTCTAGAATATTTGTATACTTTTTTCAAAAAATAAAGACTTAATTACCTATATTTTTCCCACAAATCATTTTTAAGAATATATTGTTTTGAATATGATTTGTTCAATGTAAATAAATCTGGATATTCACTGTAAACAAAAAAATAATTACTCATATAAATAATTTAATTTAAGTGTTTGTTTGAAATTATATAATATGAAAGTTATTTAAAATAAATGAATAACACAAACTTGTCTGTATAAATGCATGAATGTGTAGAAACTTTATCATCAAACCTTTGAAAATTGAAAACATTGGGAATGTTTCTATAAAATAATTAAAAAGTTTAAATTTTGAGCTTAAATGCTTAAATGAAAGGTAATACTTTTCTCTTTCTAATATATTTAATGGATACAAAACACCATCCTGTTGATTAAATTGAGATGTAAATATGTTTGGAATATTTCTAAAACAAAAATTTATAATTAAGTAACTATCCAAACAGAATATATTTCACATATACTTTATTTTTTATTATCAACATCTGATCTACTATAAGCAAAATTCAAATTATCTGCATTATTTAATAAACAAACAGTTCCCATAAATTAAAAGTGTATTCATTATTTATGTAAAAAATAAAATAAATTTGTATTACCTGTCTTTATTTAAAATATTAAGATTTCTTGAACTCATTAGAGTAGACATAATTGTGACTGGATACTTATTCTTGGATAAAAATAATAAAATATAATCATTAATTTTTAAAAATTAAAATAACTATTCTTTGATTAATATTCTTTGGCTACAATAGCTACATTAAAGTATGATAATGTAATAAGAAATGAATAAATAATCAAATAAAAGGTACGGTAAAGAATAATTGAAACAAGGAAAAAGAAAATCTGTAGTAAAAATAACTTATCATAATAACAATAAGCAAGGAATAAACTTTTTAAATTTAAGTTTCATCCCCAAATTTTATATTTAATACAAGCACATAATAACAAAAAAAAAAAAAAAAACTATACATTTATTGCTGTTTACTTTTTATTATTGATTTTTAGTTATTCTTAAACAATTCCCATCCAAGCCATGCCCAAAGTTGAAAAAAATAATATACCGGAATAATTAAAATACACAAAATAATGTAATATTCAGTAGTAGAGAATTCCATGTGACATTTTTCTTAAAATCTATAAAAAAATAAATAAATACATTTAATCATCAATATATTGTACAGTAAAAAATAAACTAATAAATTAGTTTTGACTTGATAATATGATATAATAGATGTGTTCTACTATTAAGAAGCTTTCTTTTAGTTTTTATATAAGGACTAAATATACCTAAATATATGTTTTGAGTTTTTGAGATTTGGTTGTCTTGAAAGTAGATTGCAGGTGGAATGTCTTTTCTTAAAGTAAAAAGGATATAATAGGACTTATTAGAATTTATTTTAATTCTCTACTTGAAAAACAATTTAGACATATTATTAAAAATGTATTTGGAGGTTTAGGTATGCTGTTTTAAAGGCAAAATGTAATGAAAGAATTGCCATGTCATCAATGTAAGTAGCTATCATGTATTTTTGGATTTGGAAACATCAGCTGTATACATTTTGTAAACATCTGGTGATACCAAGTACCCCTAAATGGATTTGGAATTTAAATTGGGAGTCTCCTGGACGAACAAAGAAGCGGCTATTTTATTGACAATACGGTGGATTGGTGGATTGTCGAGTGGTTTACTCCGAAACCAAATTGTGTATTTGGTATTATTTGTTAGGACTTATGAATAGGTCTAATTCATTTTAGCATCTCTTTTTTAAATAATTGCCTTAACACTATTACTAGACTAATTGGTCTGTAATGAAGAAGTTAAATCCAAGTATTAAGATACAATATCTCTCAAAATTAAAATTTATTTTGTCAATCATAATTTGAAATTATACATGTTAAATTCAAAACAAATAATTATTAATAATATACTATATGTTTACCTTGTTAAAATAATACAGTTGTTCTTAATGCGCATTTTATTTTTACATTTATAATGATGGAAATTGATAAATATTAATCAAATTAAATATTTTTCTTACAGCAAAAAAGTACATTGTAATCTTAATGTCTATGTTTAGATCTACAACTTTAGTTGTTTAATAATTACAGGTTTATAAACTTTAGATAAGAAATATAAGAAATATTAAAGAACCAGTGAAACTTACATTTCAAAAACTAAGTGAAACGGCAACGGCCATCAAGACGTTGAACTATCAATATTTCAACTTATCACCATTCATTAACCACCGATATTATCTAAAGCCGTTACCAGCTATTATGTATAATTATGTAGTATTGGCTATTCATTATCCAAAATGAAACATATGGTTGATAAGAACTCATTGAATTAGGAGTTAACTCCCTTAATTAAATCATTGGATTAAACCATACAATAGATTTTCTAACCGAGTTAAGTGAATTGAAATCATTAAGCCGAGTTGAAATGACCACCTCTAATTACAGGCGGTAAGGTGACGTTGACCCATAGAGTAATACTCTAATATGTTAATCTATGCGTTGACCGTTACTGAAGAAGGAATCCTCAATGTTCCGCAGTTGTGATCACGATAGACATAGATATATATGACGATAGATAACATAATATTATTATCTACGGTGATCACGGTCTAAGATCTCGTAAGACCGCGGTTATAATACGCTCACGCACAATGTGCTCGCACGGCTGCGCTCTGCTCCAGCGCCGCCCCCAGAAAACGGTCGCACGCACGCACGCACGCACGATGGACCTCCTCTTTGCACATGACGAACAGCAGCTGCTACCCGTCGACTGCTGAAAACGGAAAACATGGACATGCCATTATGCCGATTTATTATATAATACCATGTCTGCGCTGTGCAAATTTGTCAAAAACGCAATTTTCGAATAACCAAATGAAATACGTGCTATTAAGTTTTCTTGCGTTGGCGTACTTTGTTTCTCTACTGTACACACGATTTCGTATTTATTTTTTAATGTAGAGAAGCCGATGACACTGCACTTGTCGCAACAAGAAAAATGTGCGTATATTGTGAGTATCTATAACGTTCCGTAATGTAGGGAATCACACTGAGAGGTCGAGATGTCCGTCGTAAGCTGTACACACTACACGGCACCGTTATCGTGTGCCCAGTGCTACGCCGGATAATTCTCGACAAATTATGATTTATTTTTTTTGTATTTCATAATTTATTTTAAAAGTTGTTACGTACTCAATGGGCGTGTCGATAAAATTATTACATGTAAACATATTTATGTACGTTTTACGTGTGTACAATATATACATATTTTATACCTACCTAATCACAAACAACTATAGATTACGGGAAAATTATTTCTTGTCTAGAAACATTTTTATGCTTTTTCATTTAAATCTTCACGTATGCGACTTGTGTATTGTTTCAATATCCGTATTTTACTATTTTTCACAATAGATTTGAAGTATTTATTAAAGTATATCTATAGTGTATCTAAATGGTATCTATACATTTGACCTCAATGACACAATGTTAATTTATTTATAATTAAAAGTATGTTATTTAATGATATAATAGGTTTTCATTTTTGTAAGAAAGATGAATTAATTGCGCATTTTTATTACTTAAATTAATAATAAAAATATAATTAAACCTTTATTAAAATAAATAATATAAATTAACTATTTCATTTGAATATGATTAGAATGTTTTAACTTAAATGGTCATCATATTTATAAAATTTGCAAAATCTTATGTGTTCTGTTCAACATTTAAATTATCTCTAGTATTATTATTAACCTGTTCATTATTTTTAACATTTAGGGTTCATATAAATGTAATATACTATTATAATTTTATCAACAAAACTATTTTTTCTTTTCAAACCATATTGACTAATTAATTTAAAAACAAATAATGTTTTAGGTGCATGATATTATTGATAAAATATTATGACTGAAAATATTTCTTTCCTGTCTATATAAAATAAATAATAATCTTAATATTGAATGATATATCAATTACTAATCGAATGGTCACTGCTTTTATTTGAATAAAATAATATTTGTTTTGATTTAAAATATGCAATTTTATCTATTTTCATTATTAAAATAATTATAATTTGGTTTACTTAAATGTTAATAATGAATTTGGATATTTTTTTCAGCTAGACCAAGTGTCTAGAATACAATGTTTTCTCGTCGCACTCAACCCATTATGGAAGACATGGTTTCTGTTTTTGAGTCAACTCAAAATCAGCCCTGGTCTGTATTCAGTGGTAAATTAAATGATATTTCTATTGAAACATGTAAAAATAAAAATATTTTTAAATCAGAAAATCCTATTCAGTTATCACTGAAGAACGACTTTCGAGTGTTTGGTTTAATTCCTCGACTTGAAGAATTTAAGTTGCTATCATGTAAAAAATGTAAAATGATAGTAAAAGAAGATTGTTTATTGCATCATTATAATCGTCGCCATAAATCCGGAAATGATACTTTTTCGCTTAAAGATTTTCTTATGCCTACTATTAATTCCAATAAACATAAAAGGCAAAAGCTTAATAATGTTAGAAAACTAAATAAAGCTAAACTTATCAATGGAAAGATTATCGATCCTGTTGTACAACAAATAAAAACTGAATTTGATGAACTTGAGTTTCAAAGAATTTCAAAAATAAAACTAGAAAAATTACAAAACAATAATAAAAATAAACATAATGATGGTGATGATTTAAATTTTGTGATTGAAACTTGCCATCCTGTTTCAAGTAACCTTGAATTTGATTGGAATATTAAATCATGTACTCAAAGTTTAGATTCCTATACTGATAATAAAATAGAAGAATGTGATATTGAATCAAATAAATTATTAGCAGATTTACCCGATAATAAAGAAGAATTGCATTTTCATAAATATGGAAATGTTAATAAATTTGACAATAGTATTAATTATAAGATCAGTTCATATGATTCATTAACAAAACCATTAATCTTGGATGATGAAATTAAAATGAATATGCTCTTAAATCTGGCATCTGAAAAGAAATGTAAGAATAAATCTAATAATTCATATTGTATATTAGGTGGTTTATTAAACAATGAAAATATTAAATTTAGAAGAGATTACTATTCAGATGTTATTAGTGATAATAAACTTTTAAATAATATTATTACTCATAATCAAAACACAATTGATGAAAGAATTGATGATCCTCTAGTTATAAATAATCAATTAAATATTAACACTGAAAAAATTTCTTATGATTCTATTACTAATTTACATTCATTAAATAACGGATATAATACTCAGAATTCAGAAGTTACAAGTAATGACAGTGAAAACAATGAAATTGTTGATGATTCTCAAAATCAATGTTTTCCATTATTAAATAATATAAAAGAAATCAAGAAAAGTAAAAATTACATTTCAAGTGATTTATGTTCTTATGTAACAAGTGATGACAATTCTTTGAATGAAGTTACCGGTTTTCATCAACCATTTACAGAATTGTCAACATTTAGAAATGAAAATACAATTATATGTAAAAAAGAATTTGATGTAGCTGATAAAATTAAAATTGAGCCTTGCCAATTATCTATTGAATATCCTAATATTAAATCACTTACTGAATTTTCATTGGAAGGTATAAGTAACAAATTTATTAACAGTAATAAGTATTCATCAATCTTACCTTATAGTGCTAGAGAAATATCCAAACTTACATTAAATACTGAAAATAATATTGTTATGTTAAATGAATGTTCTGATAATGTTATTAAAAATTATAGTCAGTCATTAGTTTCACCATTAATAGACATTATTAAAAGTTCAAAACCTTCAATACTTACAGATTGTGAAGGGTATAAAGTCGATAACTATTTCTATCGTGAATATTATCATTCATGTAAATCTGGTAAATCTGTTTATGATGAAAAAGAAAACTGTGAAATAAATGACCAGTTTTTTAATAGTTATACATTACCATCTGAATTACAAAATTATAAAGATAAAACACAAATTTCACAAATTAATGATGAGTCTTCAATTGTTAAGTGTAATGCAAATTTAAATGATATTTTTTCTAATTTTGATGAATCGACTACTGAATTTTTAGATAACATAGAAGAATCAAAACCTAATTCAAGATTTGATTATTCAATGAATATTATCAAAGAAGATGATGATGATGATGATGATGATGATGATGACGATGATGACAATTATGATGATGATGATGATGATGTTAATAGTTATACTCAGAGTGACGCTTATGATAAAAATGAATATTACAATTTATCTGATTGCATTAATAGTGATGTATCTTCTTCAGTAATACTAAGTAACTTTGATTATTCAGATATAAATAATGAAGATTTTGATGATTCTGTAACAAGTTGTGATCAATCATCAATAGAATCATTAGATATCGATGATGAAACACATAATTTATTATCAAATGCAACGAGTGATGAAAGTTTTGGGTCTGATACAAGTCAATCAATTTCTGAAACACTAAATGTATCAAAAGAAACAAAATCTATACAAAATGATTTATATTTAGAACCTAAGAATCATGAACCATCTATTGATTTCATGTGTAAGGTTGGTGGATCATTAATACAATTATTAAATGATTTTGATAATAATACTAATTGTACACCAAGTGACACATTTGTTAATAACAGAGATGACAGCAAAATGTGTCGTATTCCAGTTAATTCAAATAGAAATGTTGAAATTGTGGAGGATCTTATTAACTGTTATACTGCTAACAGTTCTAATGATCAAATTGCTAAAGATATTTCTATTTCTGTTAAATCTAGTGCTCTAGCTTCTGAACTTTCTGTTAATGGATTTACCTCTGTTTGTTCTAGTGCTAAAATTATAAACAATACTATCATTCCTATTTCTACTGAAAAGTGTAAAGAAAAGTATGAATTAATAGATAATGATGCTTCCTGTGATTATTCTACTTCAAATAGTTCTCATAATACCTTATATTCCCAACAAATTCCTTTTAATACAGATAACCAAAATGATCATTTAACTAATTGTATAACACATAGTCCAATAATTGACAATAATGACAAAGCACACAATTCAAAACCTTGCACAAACAAACAAAATGATCATTTTATTCATCATGATACAAATGGATCACCATATCATCCAATATTTAAAGACTGTTTTAAAAAGGCCGCTGATAAAACAAATGTTGTTTATGATAAAAATTATAAGATAGATAATATTGTATCTAAGATTAAAAAGAATTTAAAAAGACCTTATGCTGTTGCTGATGGTAAAAAAAATCATAAACTATGGAAGTATGGAACTTTTAAAAAACGTCGTAGATTAGAATTTATAGTGAGAAAGGTCATGTGGTCTGATGAATCTGACTGTAACGATAATGTCAGTGAATGATCACATTAATTTTTAATTAATTTACTAAGACTTCCTTTAGGTCTCATTATGTATTTATTTGTTCCTTATTTTAAAAATCATTTTTATTCTTCCATTAAAATAAAAAAACTATATGTTGTTTAGTAACTAGTTATATTTTTGTCAACAATTATTTTGTAAATATAATTTTTTTTACATTCTTTTTTATAAATTCTTGTTATTTATTTATTTTATGTACATAAAAAAAAAATGACAAGTAGAAGTAATAATTCAAATTGTGAAAATCAATCTTGTAATATTCCTTTATCAAAATATATTTTTTTAAATGACAATCAAACTAACAGCGGTCTAATTCAGTGGATTAATTCTTTTGAATTCATTCGATTAAAGAAAAATATAGCCAGAGATTTTTCTGATGCAAGTAAAATATATGTATATTATGTCTTAATGATATTAAACTAATGATTTAAATTTCAATAAATTTAGCTATGATTGCTGAAATAATGAAATTTTATTGGCCAAAATTAATTGAGCTTCATAATTATGTTCCATCTAGTTCATTATCTAATAAAATTTCTAATTGGGAAACATTAAATAGAAAAGTGAATTTACAATAATTACAGATATTTAATTGGATATATTATAAAATATGTTATGTTGGAATAAGGTATTGAAGAAAGTCAAGTTACCACTTTCTAGAGCAACTATAGAAAAATTATCAACTGCCGACCCAAGAAATATTTTTCAGTTTTTATCATCTTTAAAATTTGTAATTGAAGAACTGGAACGTGAAAAAAAAATTGAATTTGAAAAAACCCAAATTTCCCCACTATATATAATTGCTAATGATGATATGATTCAAGTTTCAGGTAATACTTGTATATTTCATATGACTATTTACCTGTCAATAATTTACTATCATGGAACCTATTATTTTAATTGGATTAATTTTGTATCAGAAACTGATTTTTGTACTAAAGAATATCTTAATGAAGAAGTTGTACAATTAATATGTAAACTTAAGCATAAAGTCAAAGATATGGAGCAGAAGGTATACTAGTATGATTTGGCTTAACATTTTCTTAAGCAAAACTAAGTAGTAGTTATAGGTCATAGTAAGAAAAAGTTAATAATATTTATACAGAAATAATAATTATTTTGAATTTATTATTTACTTTTGTTGAAAATACATTTGATAAGATTTTAAAAAAAAAAAATCAATATTACCTTTATAATCTAAAATATATTTTATTACAAAAACTACAACGTATAAATACATTTTATTCTGTCAATTATTTATTTTTTCAATATTTTCCAACAATTACTTTAATGACTAAGCATCTATAATATAAGAATATTATTGATTTAGATTGATAATATGAGTTCATTGATATGTGCAAAAGATATGAAGATAAACGATTTACAATTACAATTGAACCAGAAGAAAAAGGATAATACTATTTGAAGGTGTCTCAACAAATGTATTGTTTTCAAATATTTATTTGAATCTTTTTTGCAATCATAATCACTAATATACATTAAAAACGTAAACACATTGGATAAAATAAAATAAATTTACTGCTTATAATATTATTATTCCATTCATATTCTAATAGGTACTTTTGTTGTTTTTTATATTTTTATCATATGATCTACGAACAAAGTATATAAAAGTAATTGATACTTATTGATGGTACTCCGACTAACAATCTTAATATGTATTTAAAAGCCATAATTTTACTATTATTATAAACTTTAAAGTTTTATGTAAATTAATTTTCATGCTTCAAAATTATATTAATAACAATTCTCGATTAATTTAGAAAGTATATTTACATTATAATTAGAGTCCAGATTTTTAAACAAATGCATAATCTTCCACAATTCATCTAAAATTATTTTGATTACAAATATCAACATCTCGCACGGTTCTTTGACTTTTCTCCTGTTAATGTTGCTGCAAGGACTTATTGTCATCACTGTGGCTTGATAATATAGAAACAGATTACAACAAATTGGGCGACGACTACTTTTATACTAGAGTTAGTGACAGTGGTGTTATACTGTTAATATTTTATTCGCAATTTTTCTGTTCCATATCAAATATTTTGTCTATTTGAAAAAAGGAGGAATAGGCATAGAGTTTGTTAAACTTGTCATAAGTATAAGTATTGTCCAAAAATTCCTGGGTATTCTCAAGTTAAAACTTTTTATGGAGTATTAAGCAGAGAAATAAGTGATGAAAATGAGGGTATTGTAGAGTTATCTGAAGACATCTTGTTTTAAATATACGATAATAGTGTCTTATGATGTTACAGGAAGTTTTTCTAAGTATAAATCTATGATACATAACAGTTTTAAAAATCTGAAATTGTATTTTATGATGGTATTTGTTCCAAATTAATATTTTTTGTTGTTGATTCTGAATTTAAATAATTGATTAATAATTTCTTATTTTGTAATTTTTAAATAATAGTAAATTTTAATAGTTTATACGATATAATATATCTGTAATGATATTTTTTAATTTTCTTGTATTTAAATATGTGTATATTTAACAATATTTTTTGCATTAAAATCTGGACCTTAATTATAACAAATACATATACTCTAAGATGTTTATAACTTTAGGATCAATAATTATTGATTTTTTCTATTAATGTTTATTTCTTGGGTAAAAATATAAGCAACTTGATCACACACACTTCGTTTTATAAAATGTATTAAATAATGACTGAAAATTTACATGTAGTTTGATGGACTATTTATCTTTGGCGTGCACACAGGTGCAGGAGAAGGTTCATGTGCTTCATCTGCCACATTTTTTAGGCCAAACAATTGACATATGGGTTGTGGCAAAGTAAGTTATAACCACTTAGTTACAGCACAGAATCAATAATCTATTTTTTGGTAATTTATGGTAAATGACCGACTGGGTCAATTCATTATATCATAGAAGTAGGTAGGTAGATTAAATTTATCTGAAATAATATTTTTATTAAATAATTTATACAAATTTATTTAGTAACAAGATTAACAACCTAGTCAAAATTACGAAGCTTGATGAAGATTAATCTTGAATTTATATAGAACAAACAAAAAATTGTGTCAATACTACATACATAGATAGTAAAACTAAAAATCCCGCTAAAAAATTATGTAGTATAAATTATAAATAATTATTTTTATTTCAATTATTATCATTATTTTTATAACAGAGACTTAATTGGTGTCTTCAAAATCAATGAATAAATGTAAGGGGGTAAATTGTACATTTATATTTGTTAATTGTAAATAAATAATAATATTATTTAGCCACTGTAGCAACAACTACACACTTTTATAAAATACAATCAATAACTTTGGAGGTTCAACTATTATATGGTTGATTGTTAAAAAATGAACTGCTTTATTTTGTATGCTACTAGATCTGCGATTAAAGTCTGTGTACACCTATGCTATTGATGATATCAAGATAATATGTGTAAATATAATTTTGACATAATGTAAACTTTTTTCTCAATCTTAAATACGAGCTAATTATATTATATTATAAAATATAATAAATAATATATATTATATTAAATTATATTACGTTTATATTTCAAATATACATTGATTTATACCCTAGATTTTTAAATGGATAAAAATAAACAATTATCAATCTATAAATCATCTATGAATTCAAAGTATTTTTACTATCATGTATTAAATATGAATTATATTAAGACAGTAGCAATAGTTACACAAAGCACTTATATAATGTAAATTAAACCATAGGTAAAAAACAATGGTAATATCCAGTGTTTAGATCGTTTACTTTAAAATGGAACTCGTTCAAGTTTTATGAAAAATTAATGCATTCAATTGTCCATTTATTTAAAAAAAATTTATTTTATATTTACAAATCACCAACCAGCATTTTGTATAAATGGGACCTTTTTAAAATGGTAAATAAATTTTAATCTCCCAAAAATTGTTTAAATTCATTAAAAATATGAACTGTGTTTACATTTACATTCTATTTGAAAAAAAAAAAACTCGCGTATCATTCACAAAATGTGTATGTGTGAACATACGTTCTTGAATTACATTTTTCCCAAACACCGGTCATATTATACTAATATGTTACCTATTGCCTGAAGTATATTTAGTTTAATTGTATATACAATCACATGTTATAGATTACAACATTAATTAATAAAAGTATTATTTAATACATAATAGAAACATAAATTATCATTATGTACATTGTTGTATTAATATCTATTGTACAACAGTCTAAAATCTAATGACTAAATATAATGAATGGAATTGAAATGGAACACAAATACCGTATAAATTGTACAACAAAAATTTCATTTCATAAACACACAAGTCTTTAAATAACTATCGGTGTTAACTGAAATACAAATGAGATACCCAAAAGCAACAAATGTATTATTTTTGTTTTCTTAATTTTATAATAAAAATAAAATAAATAATAATCAAAATCATAATTTTCTTTTAGTGATGGCAATGGAGAAATATAGTTTTTAATTTAATTTTCATAAACATTTAATATTAATTTTATAAACACTTTATGAATTTTATTCAGTAAAATGTTTTATGTGACTGAGTTTGTTGGTATTCCCAATACCATACACCACCAACAATTAAAGCAGCAATTAATATAATAACAAACAATACAATGAAAAATATTTTTAAGCCACTCCAACTTTGACTTTTAGTATCTTCAATATGTTCTATAAAGTAAAAAAAGATATTAAAATTAATAAAAAAAAAAAAAAATCAACAAATACCCAAATACCTCTTGGTGGACTGAATTTTGTAGCAGATGGAATTATATTTGAGCGGTCTTTAAGAGCTTCCTTCTAAAAAAATAATTGATAACATAAAGTAAAAATAATAACATTGAAGTAATTATAAAAATAAAAATAGTTACAGGATCATCAGAATCCACTTCATAAAGTCGAACAGCTATAATTTCATGATTATCCGATAAGTCTCCAGTTGCTGCTGAAAATCCAAAATAATAACCAGTTGGCAGTTCAACTCCATCAACATTAAAACAAGGCTTCCACACTGCTTTATCATCTAGATCTGTCATAACTAAAACGTTAAATTATATAAATAAATAATTTTATAGTATTATTTTTTATATTATAATAAATATAAAAAATATGAGTTAAATATACCAGTAAGAGTATTGCCAGTATATCTTATTAATAAATGAGCTTCAGTTTGTAAATTTCTAACTTTAACTTCACATCCAGCTAATTCTGTGTGAGTACCATCACGATCATGATCGTAATGCAAAGAACCATTATTAATCATTGATGAAATATAAGGATGTTGATGCTACATAAAAATTAAATAGAAATATAAATTTAAAAAATTAATTGAAAACTAATTATTAAATTATATACATTATGTTCTCCGTTATGATTACTATAAGTATCAATAATTACAGCAAGGCCTTCAAATAAATCTTTACTACCAAAGACCGGCCCTTGTTTCATTCTTTCTCGAGTATACCAAATTGCCATGCCATCACCATGAAGACTTTCTTTTCCCTTACCATGTACTTTAAATTGTACTTGTAATTCCCAATTATTAACATAACAGGGCTGTAGAAAAATAATAATTGAAGATCATTAAATTATTATATTACTTGTGTAATACAAATACATACAATAGAGTTCCATATTGAACCTGACTTGCTTTGCAAATCTGGAGTTAATCTTATATATTTATCCGTTACTATAGTAGATCCCATGAAATCCCAATTAGGTACTGTGATACCAGAACCTAATAACAAACATGTATACTCGATGATAATTGATAATCAACTATATAAGTTTCCATTAATTTTACCTTGGTAAGGTTTCAATAGCGAATGTTCACGTTTCATATAATCTCTAGTGTTCCATTTAGAGAAAACTTCTCTGTTAAGAAATGAAAATAAAATTATAAAAACGTTGAATTTCGTATTGAGATTATTTGAACAAATTTTGAATAAATGCGACATTTTATAGTTAATATAGAGAGTACAAAAATTAATGTAAAATGTTATGGAATGGCAACAAGTAGCACGGAGTAAATAATTTGTTATTAAAATAAAAATCAACGCGTATTTAGTTAATTCGAGATAGAGTAAAAGTTTAAATAAAATCTAAAAACAATAAATAAGACTTTAAGTTTGAAAAATTAACACTGAAAGAGAAGTTACTTTATTCTTAAAAAATGAAACTTCAAAATGCTAATCGTGTGATAACCATAGACCTATTATATATTAAGTCTATGGTGATAACCATAGATTAGTTTTATGACTTCTTTGACAATAGTTATTGATAACCGATAAAATTATTATTATCTTAATTTACGTTTAGATAATATCATAAATGAAGAGTTCACACGATCCCGAATCGGCGGTTTTACCGTATCGTTGATTTTGTTGTACAAGCCAGTGTCAATGTAATTTAAATGCATATACTTAGACGACACGGCATTGTACTGTATTCGGTAAAATTACCGATTAAGTCGATTTTGTCATTCGGTTTTATCTCTGCAAATCGTTTTCGGTCGTACGGTAAAACGATTTGGCTTATCGTGGCAATGTATTTATAGACACTGCGTTCAGACGATTCGATATTTTGATCGATAGTGCGTCATTTTTTGTCTGTGCTACTGTCGAATAATTAGGTATCGACGTACGAAAATAATTAAAAAAATTTGTTTCGTCCTGTCGTAATTGACACATTAGCGTATTAAAAGAGCCCAAAATATTTCTTTGTCTCGCATTAGAATGTACCCAGAATCTTCGATTTGAAATCCGTTGCGGTTGACGATACTTACGATACCAGTATATTAATATAAATGTATTCAAATTCATCTTCACACGTCTTAATGCAAATACGATATAAATGCATCTGAAACTCGAGTATGGTGTACGGTTAAATTACGGTACCGTCTGAACACTAACCAAAAGACACCGAATCGAGAAAATAGCCGATACGGTAAAATTATCGAATCGTGTGAACGGACTCTAAGTTACTATATGGATCACATACAATTTTCTAAACATCTATTCTCAAGAGCAAACGCCAAACTCAACATACTAAATCTTTGAATAGCTTGATCCTCACAGAAACTATTAAAAAAACCGTACGTTTTGCTTCAACAACAATAAAAATTACTTAAGAATGATGTAAATATGTTATAAAAATAACAAAAAATGTCTTTAAAAAATGACCTAAAAAAATTACAAATATTTGTTTTAAATTAATAAAAATATATTTTTTTAAATATTTTACTTTATTTTACTGTAACATTCTATATACATTTATCAAAACTTACAAATTACTTAAAAGTTAAAATCATTGCATTGTACAATTAAAGCACAATTTGATTTTGTACAGTTTGATGTTATCAAAAGTAAATGAACGACGATTATATGTTTATAAACATTTTTATTTGGAAAAACTTCTCTCCACGTCCATTGAAGTGATTGAGAGGTTCAGATGAGCACTAACCGACGTTTTAATTTTCGTTATTCCGAAAATATGATGAAAAAAATTATAAATTGTTAATATAATAGGTTTTATTGACTATAATATGACTACGAAGCGACAACTGTAATCGATGTGATAAAATCGGATACTAATCGAATATTAGGAAAAAATAATAAAATGTAGGTATAATAATATTCACTACAACACGACAATGGCGAATTTAATCGACGAGATAAAATCAGACAAGTCTTATGTTTTTGGCATAATGGTCAACAAGAAGCAATAAAAAGTAAACTAGTGTGAAATCAGTAAAAATTACTAAAAATGTCAAAAAATGACTTAAAAAGTAATGAACACCAAAAAATGCAAAATAAAAATTAGTTATTCGGATTCACATGCTAATGAAACACAATTGTGGTTAAGAGAGCAATGTCTAAAAACTTAAAAAAAAAAAAATGCAAAATGCATTAACTTCCAAGCTCTAATGATTAGGCATAGTGTTTAAAGAAAGAAAATCTCTTTACAACAAATTAATTTTTCGTCGTTTGATTTTATTTTAACAAATTCGTTTTAGATCTATAGCGTAGCTTTTATAGGACAGTGCCCCAGAACCCTAGAGCCAGCCCGATGGATTTTAGAGTCTGATGCAAAATTTTGTGGGACCTCACATACATTTATTTGATTTAGTGTTAGAAAAAATATTATTTCTAAAAGTGAGTACAAAAATTAAAATTTTATGCGGTTTTGATATTTAATCTAAGTGCATTTTTCTAAGTGAATTTGATCAATTAATCCTAAATTTAATTGTAAATGCAACACTTTTACGAACTGTGCCATAGCAACCAAACATTGCACCCGGGGCGAAACTTCGAAATGCGCATTTATGTATTTTTAATTTAAAAATATTATGCTTATTAGATATTATTTTTAATTATTGCTTTAATTAATACGAAGAATATTTAAGGTTTTGCTAACAAAATATACGACATTGACTGTTGTAATTTTTAACATTAAATGCAAGATATTTATTTTTGCGCTCTCCCGGGATTGCGCCCGGAACGTAGGTACCTTTCGCCACCTCCTTGCTACGGCCCTTTTCACGACCAACCCTAATGTGAAGATCATGGGCGTAACTTGGAAATATATTAGGGGGAGGGGGAAATATATAATTACATATCTAACAAAAAGTGTGTCCGAGGCATGAGCATAACATGGGCAATTCTTATAAGGGCAAACTTTTTTTTATGTCGATATACCGTGTACTTAAAGATACTTAGAGACTACATATACTTAATCAGTGGAAACTGGAAAGCAAGAGATAATAATATTATCTAAGCTAAATCTTTATTGTAGCATGTACAATACAATTAAATGGCATGATGGAAAAAGCTTGATAAGATGGTTTATTCAATAGAAGAATTCTGCATTTCTATACTTTAACATATTACTTTATTTTTACATAAAATGGAATTTTATATATATTATATAATATACTTAATGTTATAATTTGTAGTTATTATATACATCATAGTATATGCTATACTAGAAAATTAATTATGTTTATGTAATTATTATACTAATAATATTATTAAAACTGAACTCTAATATTATATTCGTAACCTTACAAGATGTCTATGATAATTTAAGTCTTCTACCTCTTTCTGTTGAATCTGCATCAAACTGATCAATAATAGTATTAAAATTAATTTTAAAAGTTTTTTTCAATATGTAAAATAGCCATGTTATTAAGTCTTTCTTGGCCAATGGTGTTTTTTTGTAAATGTTTTGAGGTGACGAAGTGATGAAAACGAAGTTCACTCGATGCAGAACTTATTGGAATAGAAAGAAACATTTTATAAATAAAATAAATATTGTCAAATGAGCCTATCAAGTCTTTTTCCAAATACAAATTTAAATGGGCTCCAAAATGTTCATCAATATTATTTGATGAACACATTTTCCCGAAGAGCATTAATTTTACCTTTAAGGCATCGAAGTTAATATTGTAGGTCTTACAATCTTCTAAAATATCTTCATCCCTGTTTTTTCTAGTGCTTAAATAATTTTGAAGAGCGTTAAGTATTTTTAAATTGTTTTCTGCAAATTTTGTTTTTATATTATTTATAATTATATCTAATAGGAAAATAAATATTAATTTTGAAATACGATGCAACGTTCCTTAAAATTGAAGATTCATCACCGCCTAATCTTGAAGGTATTGTTTTTATTCTTGGAATTATGGGTAGTGAAATACATTCTTTGGAAGCTAGCTGTTCTGTTTCCGTCCAAATTTGATCGAAACTATCATCACTGCGAAGAGATTGTAGTTCCTCGAGATTAGCTGCTGTTAATAATGAAATAGTAGAGAAGTTAACATTTATTTTTTTTTTTTTGAAAATGTAGTGACAAGGAGTTAGTTAATTCAAACACTAATTTCATTAACTTTAAACAAAATATAAATTCAAAGTTTTGAATATTATTTAATATTGAATTTGCATCAGGGCCATGAATAGAGTCTGTTTCATTTATTTTTTCTAACGTTAAAACAATAAAATTAAAATTATTTATAACAGAACGAATAGCTTCTATTCGGCAACTCCATCTAGTCTCACTAAGTGATTTTAGCGTGATTTTTGTCATATAATATAATATATTATTCTATGGTTTTTACTCGATAATTATGATAATAGATTCTGTTATGATGTATTGCTATAGCATATCGCATTTGGTAAAGGACAATAAATAAATACATTTTGAGTAATCAATTAAATTTTTTTCTTTAGTTCATCTTCTTAAAATACTAAATTTTTCACTTTTCTTGAAAATAATTCTTACCATACTACAATACCTTTTTGATAATAGTTTTCAAATACATATTTTTATAAAATATTAAGGGGGCATTGCCCTGTTAAATTGTTTGAGGGGGGCAGTTGCCCCCTCTCCCCTCAGTTTATGCCTATGGTGAAGATTAAATGCAACATTTGATCATTTTATATGTAATTTAATTAAAGATATGTTTAGTGTTAAATATCTTACAACTACAGCTAATTGTTGGAGCATTTTTAAAAGATATAGGTATACATTTTTTATTATTAAAATTACTAAATTCTAAAATGTTCTTTTCTAGTAAGTATTATAAATTATAATATTATTTTATATAGATCATATATTGGTATTACATGTCACTGGATTGATGAAGAAAACTTAAGTAGGAAATCTGTACTTACGATAGCTAAAAGATTGGACGGTCTACAATGTAGACTCTACATACATTTTATGTGATAGTAGATGCAATGGAATCGGTTTATTTAAAACTAGAGATTCTAAACAAAATATATTTTACAAAAACTGACAATGGGTTTAATTTTGTTAAAAGTTTCAAGTAATTTTATTGGTATCGACGGTACCTTTAAAATTAAGTTTTAATATATTGTTTAATCTATTTTCATATAAATTTTAGAATGTATGAATGTACACCTATCGAAGTTGAAAATTATGTATAAGATCCAGGCCTTAAAGAATTTGAGTATGATATTGATAGTGAAGAAAATAAGGATGATGAAGATAACATTGATGAGATTTGTAGCTCAATAATTCCAATCACTGAAATTATTAAAAATAATGTTGATGACTTCAATTATAATTTACCGGTCCATCACCGTTGTGCTGCGTATACTTTGAACTTAGTTGAGACAAGAGTAATCATTTTTTTTTTTTTTAATTTATATGCTTTTTATTATAAATAATTACAAGTAATCATTGCATTTTTATAATTAATAAATTAAAATTCTAAACTAAATATTTAATATTTTAGGATATTGAAAATGCACTAAAATAACCTGGTATTCATGGAGAACGTCTATTATACAAAAAGCAAAGCTGTCTAACTATTGTAAACTCCCGTTAATTGGAAGGTGATTACGTCGTAGGTCTATGCAGTCGGGTAGTTTAGTGGTTGAACAAATGCCCGGCAAGCGAGGGCCCAAATTCGATTCTCGGTCCGGCAGCTTGATTTTTGACGTTATTTCGCCCACGAGAAATTAACACTATAGCTAAAATGTATGGCTGTATGGAAAAAAAGAGTCGTTCCACATGTATAGCTGACTTAATTCACAAATGTTTAGATGTATACTTGAAATGTCCAAATGATACAAGATGGAACTCAATGATTGATTCTATAAATTTCATGTTACTTCAAATAAAAAGAAGACCGAGCAAGTTTCTAAGAATGTCTGATGAATTAAATGTTATGTGACTAACTAAAAGTGAAATTGAATAATAGGAGGAGTATGTAGTTGTGATGAAACCTTAGCTGTGTGTTTAAATATTTAGCAAGGAGAAAAAAAGTTCATGTATTTTGGTTATTTAATCCCGTCCATTTCTCAACTTATTTCACAGTATGAGAGTATGAAAATAAATAAAAATTTCAAGTTTTGTAGACCATTAGTTGATATAATTTGTTTTAATGTTGAAAAAAGACTTAAGACTCAACTACCTGACTCATTTCTTATAATTGCTGCCATATCTCACCCTTTTTTTAAAACCGATTGGATAAAAAATGATAAAAGAGCAATAGCTATTAATCAGTTTAAAAAATCAGTTAATGCATTTTCCAAGTCTTCTTTCAATGTGGAAGATGATTCTAGACCAGAAAAAAAATTTGAATAAAATCAATCTGATGATGTATAAAATAATTTTTTTTCTAATTGGTCTAACAAAACAAATATCAATAATTCTGCAGAAAATGATATAATGAATTATTTTTCTGAGAGCCCAACAAAGAATTTAACTTCATTGGATGATACTTCTATTAAAAAAAAAAGTTTTTTTAAAATACAATACGCCTTAACCAAGTAGTGCTCCAATAGGACGTATATTTAGTGTGGGGAGGGTAGTTCTGACCAAGAAATGAGGAAAAACGACTGATTTTGAAAAAGTATCGATAGTTAAATGTAACAAAATGTAAATGTTTTTCTTGTTACTTTATTAGTGTATAATTATTATGTAAAATATAATAAAAAAAAAGTAATAGATAATGAATTTGTCTACTGTCTATGACTTAAAAAAGTAAAAAAAAGTGTATTAAAAAAATTGTATTTTGAGCAAAAAAAAAAATAATAAGTATTAATAAATAGTATTTTCAAAGTATTTGAGTAATTTTTTGAGTATTCCAGAATGTATTCTAAATAAATTTTTTGAAAATTATTTGAACACTTATTCTGAACACCTTTTTAACAGTTTATTCGAATACAAAATAAAAATATTCTTTACAAGACTGCTGGCGACTACCACTTCCAACCATTGGAGTTGCCATTTCCGCCACAATAACTATGTCGTAGGTCAATTTTTCTATCGTAGTTTCAATGTTGGATATTGTTTTTAGTCGGGTGAAAAGAGTTATTGTTTTTTTGAGAGTACTTCTGAATAGATCCCAATTTGATCTTTTATTTGTTGTGGAAGTTTCTTTTTGTTTGTTTTACTATTACATTAATGCTTAATGAAAGAAGCACAGGAATATGATCTGACGTTTCTTCTATTAAAACTTCTACTTCTGTATAACTGGATAAAACTCCTTTCATTATATTGAAGTCAATTAGATCAGGTAATTTTTTTCGGTCAGTAGACCAGTAAGTAGGTTTTCTAGTTGAGATAAATTGTGCTTTAATTTTGTAAACTTCATTTACTTTATATGGTGGTAGACAATATACAGCAGATATAAGATCATTATTGCTGTCATTGATACAGACACTTTTTGCTTGTAAATGTTCTTGAGGACATTTATCAAGTTTGTGGTGCTTAACCCTTTATTATTATGTATATATTATTTTGATTATAATGTACATACAATTATTTATGATTACATGTTGTACAATTACATAATCATTGGTTACATAATAAAATATTCAAAAATTAATTTTTTTTTCTATTAAATTTTTATTACATTTTTTTTCTGTAATTTATATTTTAATACATTAGTACATATACTTTTGCATGTTAGAGATATTTTAGCGCATATTTGGTCGGTTATTAATGCATATAAATCCTATAGTGATGAGGGTTGATATTTTAAGTTTTTTAAAGTTTTTCTTTGTTTTACTCGCAAAATGCATACACCGTTAAATGATCTGAGATACAGCAGTATAATAAATGGAAATTACAAATACAAACACATTAGTTTATCAAAAATAGTTTATTACTTAGAAAAAAAAAATAAAAAAATAAACACTTCCGTATTGTATTCGACTAAACCCTCTTCCATTGTCATCTGCAGACACTGCGATGGAAGAAAGTGAAACAAAAATAAAATATATTATAAAATTAAATTTATTTATTTATATATTTTTATGTAGGTCAACAGGTTTCTATAATATCACTTATCATTTGCAGTAGTTATTTGAAAATCCCGTATAAATAGTATCTATTTTTAACCAAAATATGACATTTTCACTGTCTCGAGGTTAGAAGTAATATTAAGTATTGTACACGTCACACGTTGTTATATTATTATTATGTTACGAAATCGCATAACGCATACTTGGACTTTATCTATATTTTTCGGTGCGTGCTGAACCACCCTGGGCGCAACTGCACGTGCCATCAGTTTCACGCCTACAAAGGTCTCTGGCGTCAAAATTTACTCGCCTTTCGTACCCGGGATCGCCCCACGACGGTGAGGTGACAACGGCGTCCATCCTGAGGTTAGCGGCCACCAAGAAAGGATTTCCAACCCTAAAATCTATCCAATAGGCCACTCCGTAAATCTCTGCATTTTTCTTGGCCAAAGCTATTTTCTTTAGATCCAAGTCGATGGCGATAACTAAAAAAAAAAAAAAAACACTAGAGTATCGTATTATTGCGTTGAATTATAATACTGTTCGATCGAAATTTAAATAAGCTTACTGTGGTCACAAGTGAATGCCAGCTGTATAACATTCCTCCCGGCACCACGAAACAGGTCCAAGACCATGCCGAATTAATATACACCTCTTGGCAATATTTTGTGCTAGTACCTCTGAGCAAACGGAGTTCATACTTACTGCGTAATCGCGTGGAGAAAGATTCAAATTAGAAAATATATTCCCGTATGTTATATTATAATTTACCTTCATCTAGCATAATTCCTTCGTCAAACTTTGAAAATAGTGAGAACTGCAATTTCCAATATTTATGGGTTTGATTTAACGTCGACTCCTGAGGGAATAACAATTCAATCGGTTTAATATCTATAGACGTGAGTGAACGATCGTGCATATGCTTTCGATCGGTTTTTTACACGTGCGTTGGTAGTACGATTTTAAATGTTTTTACATTTTTTTTTTTTTAATGTTCGCTACTTTGCATTATATTTCAACAAGTATTCTAATAAATTCTCATTAAGGTTAGGTTAGGTTTTTTCATTAGTTCGTTTGGTAATAATTTAGTTGCGATATATATGTCTGGTAACTTTTAAAGCCAATTGCATAATCAATATTGTTAATGGTCAATGTGGTAAAAAAAAACACAACTTGAAGTAAAATGTATAAAATAAATAAAAACTAAAAAAAATGTAACTCTTTGAACAGGCGGTATCTGAACGACTTTATTTAGCTGTTCCTCAATATGTTTTATCTCTTTTAGACGCCCAAACAGGGCCGTATTTAGGAGGGAGCTACAAGGTGCTGTTGTGAATATAATATGTAATTTTAGTATCGAAAAATAACGACGGCAATAGTATGTTAAATTATCCTTTGGTTTATTCGATCATGATTTTATGTTCTTACATTTATTTTATAATTTCTCAAATTGCTACATTCGACTCTAGTCGTATCATTTATCATTTATCACTACTATAAACCATAGAAATAAGCGAAGAGTTGTCATCATTGGTTTGAAAATGGATCCGTAAACTGTTCAGTATATGTAGTGATCGCAACAGTAGAAGCATTGTGAAAAAACTCTTCTAGAGTTATGATGGCTGCTTCGGTGTTAATATATTTTACTATGGGTTATAAATTGCAAAATCAATAATCCTTAAATACCAGTGGCTAGATGAATTTAAAATTACAGAGGCAATTGACATTTTACAAACAAGTGATAACCACCCATTCAAATACTCATCAAAAATCTCGCCGTGTCTGTGATTTTTTGAAGAATTTTATAGTACAAAATAGACGATAATAATTATGGTCTGTTTTCATGTAATGTGGTACAGTAAATTATTTACTATACCACATTGCATTATAAATTTTTTTTTTTTTTTTACAAAGATTGGTTTTATGTATTGGTTATATTTATTTATTAATGGACGGAGCCCTATACAACAGTTTCACAGTATACAATTTACAATTTAAATAATTAATACAAATAACACATTGGTTTAAACAACATAGTAATACAATAATTATTTAAGTATAATGGTAAGTATTTAGTAGTACACCTAATTTTACTAGTCTTGATAAATGACGCTCTCATTGACCAACTTCATCAAGCGGTGTAAAGGATTATTTCTTCCATAATTTGTAGTTGTACAGGAACTACAAAAGGAACATGGTGTCTAGTAATGTGATAAGGAACTTTGAAATTAACCGACGATAGGAGTGACGGAGCGATACGACCGTCTATCAGTTTATTCATAAACTCTATGTTAGCATTAACTCTCCTGTCTGCAAGTGAGATAAGACAGAGTTCCCGCATTACTAATGAATAGTCATAGGTAGGATGCTTTATTTTTAATATAGTTAACATAGGCATGCGCAGACTTTTGGTTCCAGGGGTGCACACTAAAAATTAGAGCCCACAATAATTTTGAAAGCCATTATAGGTATATTTATATAAGATGCGCAAAAAATAATTTTTTTGTATAGATATTATTTTAATAAATATTGTCATAACAAAACAAATATATTCTACGCTTATATATAAAATTATACTAAAAAAATTAATCAAATTAAATATCTGATATAATTTAAATCAAACTCTTCACATATTCCTAAACATGTATAAATGTACTGAAATCTAGCAATAATAAAGCATTTGCGGGTCACCTAGTTCTAATATAAGATCAAATAATTAAGTATATATTAATAAATAAATGAATCAAGATAAATATTTTGTTTATACTTTAGGTAATATTAAATTTACATTTTATATCTTATTTACCCATGTTATTATACATAGGTAATCCAGCGCGACGGTAGAGGCGCGAAGCTAAGTAAAAAAAAAAAAAGCGAAGCGGTCACTACCGTAGTATATTACACGAGCCAGAGTTTGCCCATTGAATGTGTGTAAATTTGCCCGTTTTCTTTAGCCAGGGCTACAGACCTAATGAATGAACGGATTGGTCTGTTTGTGGTATCAATAGATCGGGTATGATTTGTAGATTATACCTTTGTTATTTTCGAAAATATTAGTTGAATAATAACGAATATATTAGCAAAAAAGTCAAGTATTTTTGAAGCAAAAAGATATTGTGATCGACCGTTTTTAGTTATTACGTTTCACGCAGCAGCGCACAAGACCGTATTACCCCCTCTATTCCGTATACGTTTTCGTCGCGGTCGTACACTGGGCAGCGGTTGCGACTTGCGGTTCCCGCCGTTGTTGGCATCTTCGCTTATCGTATTTGTTATTTCTGTTATCGACATTCATGTTTCTGGTGACGTTTGGTGTAGATGTTTTTATTCGTCACCGCCAGTGGCGTATTTGAGGGGAGCGATGGGGGCAATCGCCTTCCCCGAGAATTTTTAGACCAAGACAAATTTAATATAAGTAATGGGTATTTTACTAAGAAACAAAAATTATGATTTATTTTATAGTAATACTACATTTGAAAACTTTTCAAATTTTACACCAATTTAAATAACGCAAAACGTTAAATTTTTCATAACGTTTTAATTGTCAATAATGGTAAACGGAAAATTTTTTAAACGTTTAAATTTTTATAACGTTTAAACGCTTAAATTGAATAACGTTTAAATTATTTATAGCGTTAAACGCTCAATTGCTTATAACGTTTATATGTCCCATAACGATAAATAATATACCTAAATTATTTTGATTGAAGACCCAGTCCATACTTAGTGAAAAATTAGATAAAACACAAGCGAAACTTTCAAAACACGGAGAGGTGTTAAAAAAGAATTACAAAAAAGACCATTCAAAGTGGATCTGGCATTAGATAAAAAAAAAAAAAAAACCACAAATATTAAGGATTTACCTGGTATAAATATTACCAAAAATTTTACTTGTAAATTTTGAGCCTGAATTAAAGGAAAAATTTGAGTTGCCCCCCTCTAAAAGTAAGTCTAAATACGCCCCTGGCCGCCGCGCCAGTATATAATAGAAAAACTACGTTGTATTTGTTGTAATTGTAGTAGGCCGTACTATTTATAACATAATTATAATTATATTATAATTTGTTATTTGCTATTTCTAAAACATATAAACAGAAATTAAGTAAAAGAAAAAATAATTTAGAAAAAAACCACTAATACAATGTGTATGCTGAATTTATTAGTGCTCTTATAAACATTTAAGATCCACTAAAAAATGCGTTATCTCATAAATTACAGATAGAATTAGTTTGTTCTGCGTGCCATAATAAGAGAATACAAATAACTCAAAACTATATTATTCAGCTTAACGTACCTAATGAAAATGAAACGGTAACTTTTAATACAACGTTAGATTATTTATTCAGAGAAGTGTTAATAGAAGGCGTTAATTGCAGTGCCTGTAATACTATTACAGATTATACGCAGATAACAAATATAGTAAATCCTAATGAATATTTGTACATTCAAATACAACTTTGGAATAATTTCAGTACCAAAATATCAAACCTAACCATTAATGCATTACCCATTATAATAATTAAAGTTGATGGTAAATCGTATGGTTTAAAATCTGTCATCTGTCATCATAATCTATCTATGAATGAAGCCCATTATACAAGCATAAGTTCACATCAAAATAAATGGCTACGATGTAATGACAATGCAATACATTTTGAACGATGGCCTCGAGGAGGTAAAAATGTATATATTATAATAATGAAAAAAAAAATTGAATATGATTTTTAAAAAAAACATATATAGTATATATAAAATATATATTAAATAAACAAACATTATAATAAGATAAATTAATAAAAACATAAAAAATTTCATATTACATGTCAGTACATAAAAATATGTTATAAAAAACTACTGATATCCCAACAAAAACACTTCGTCGAACTCCGTATAAAAAATTGCTAAGTAAAAAAAACTAGTCATCTATAAGACTTCAGTATTATAAAGTTGTGATATCATGAATAAATGCTAAGTAAATTAAATTTTCAATAAATTTATTCTATCTCAATCATTTATTTACTTGGCGAGAATTTATTTATTTCGACAAATAAACATGTCTGTTTATAACTGGACTATTTAACAAATTTCCATGACAAATGTTACTAAATTTGTTTTATAAAAAGTCTTAATTATTAATTTATAAAGAAAATAAATTCTCGCAAAGTAAATAAATGATTGAGATAGAATAAATTTATTGAAAATTTAATTTACTTAGCATTTATTCATGATATCACATCTTTATAATGCTGAAGTCTTATAGATGACTAGTTTTTTTTACTTAGCAATTTTTTACACGGAGTTCGACGAAGTGTTTTTGTTAGGATTTAATTACCAGCAAATAGGTAAAAATAATTTTTTTTCAATTTTCTTGTAATCAAGTAGAAAACAAAGTGTAATGAAAACATGTTTTCCAGCACAAATATGTACCTATTTTGCCTATATGTGATGCCGTGTTTCAGTTTCATTTGACAAACGTCATATTACTTTTTATATATTATAAATTTTTATCCATTGAGGTACTTGAAAATAGAAATTTTTTTATGTTCCCTTATATTGATGTATAAATTAAGATTTTTGATAAAAATAAAGTAATTTTAAGAATTCGTAAGCACACCACTTATAAGTACTCACTGCATATTCTCATAAGAATTTAACAAATTATAACGCTTCCGGATATTTTGTTCTGGACTTAGTTAGAAAAAAACCAAATATTTGTTTATTACAAAAACATTATTTTAGAATGAAAATTAATCATAAAAATCTGTCTGATTGATAAAAATTACCTATTATGGCAAGCACGTAATTCAGAGGAGGTAGGAGTGATTGCATCCTCCCCCAAGTCTCACAGTGATAACCACGAATTAAAATATAAGTTATATACCAATTTACTGTACATTATTTAAGCTCTACCTATAGGTGGGTATAATAATCCATCACGATAGATTAGGGATCTCATACGTCCCGTATTTTACGGGATTGTCCCGTGTTTGAATAAAGTGTTCCGGTGTCCCGACACAAGTATAAAAATAATAATTTTGTCCTGTATTTTGTATTAAGCTTTTTAAATTTTGGATTATTGATAAACTATAATATCTAAATCAAATGATAATTAATAATATTTGATTATAAAAAAAAAAAAAATCTAAAAAAATTGGTAAGTCACCTTATTATTTGCTTTTAATTTTAATTATAATCTATATTTGTTTGAAGTATCAAATATTTTGTTTAACTTTATTTTATAGTATATTTAGTAATTATGAGGAAAATTTTTATAGATAATTATAAAGAATTTTTATAACAAACATGATTTAAAATGTCCCGTATTTTTAAAACATAAATGTGGGATCTCTAAAATAGGTATAAATACATAACCATAAAATCTACATATTAAAGAGTGCAATTTATTAATAATTCGTAATTATTAATTATAGCTTAGGGAGGGCAAGGGTGGAGTGGTCCCCGGAGTCGGTCCAAAATCGGTTTTTTTTGGTTGGGTTTCAGTACTTGTTTTCATGTTTATTTTTTACGCCGTCCATGGCATTCCAAGCATTCATCTATCGTTATAAAAAATAATATATTAAAGTGACTTCACTTGATTATGAAGTTTTCCTTATTTGTTATTATACCCATATAAATAGATTCAATTTTTTTTTTATTATTTTTTTTTGAAGCAACTAGTATTCTAATAATCAAGATTTTACAAATGTTTAATAGATAGGTATATACAATATTAAAGTATAGAATAACATGTTGCATAGGTATCTATAATTTAATATAATAGCTCAATTGTATACCACAGGATAGACAAAATTAAATGTAAATTTTAAATAAAAATTTAATCTATTTTATACCATAGCATATTGCTGTATGAATATATTACTTTGTACACATTTTGAATTGATGGTAAATAGCTTACTGAAGTTATATTGGTATATTGATATATAAAATTAATGTATACTTGAATAATTGTTTACTGCAGGATATAGTAAACATTTAATTCCGGTTTAATAATAATTACTTATATTTTTTTAATAAACGAGAAACGTTAAATTATTATACTTATTGCACGAGAAGTAGCGAAACGTAACTGAAGCGCACCCTGTGATCGTTTAATCGCGTTTGTCTGTTTGATTTTGATAAAGGAATGGAATATTCCTCCATATTCTAATCTTGTTGGCTATAGAGGTTTCTTATCGGTTAACACATATCAATGTTAGAATATGTTATTATGGTGGTACATTTCTTTGGTCAGCTAACTTTTTAACTCGTACTATAAATTATCTATTTAAAAATAATTAGGAACATTATGTTTATTAATTTAACCGGTTATAATGAAGTCTTGACGTTAAAAACCAATAATTGCAATCATGGATATTAAATGGCTAAAACGATACCGTTTGTTCTGCATCGGAGGCTTTATCATTCTATGTGTTCAGATTGTGTTAGCATTTGTATTCTTTTCCATTCAAGAGTATTCAGTCGTAGAGGAATTTTCACCTAACGTAAGTGAACTACATTATTTCAATGTCATATATAATATGTTTTTTAGATAATTTTACTAATAGTAATTATTTAAATTCTAGTCGTTAAAAAGATTGAAGAATGTAGCTGATTATGGTACTGGGGATGACGACGAGTCTAGCTATAACAATGTTCCTAGTGGTAGCAATCATCGTAACAAACTACCACCAGATAAAGATAATAGTGCATCATCAAATGAATATTATAATAAAGCGCTTCAACAACGCCACAACTATAAGACTGATAACTTTAGAGTACTAAGATTAGATGAATTAGGATTCATACCGCCATGTGATATAAGTGGGCGTGAGTCTGTATCAGCATTACATCGTGCAAAATCTCAATTTTGTAAACAAATCATAGCAAACATATCGTGTCTAATGAAGACAAATCCACCATATCCTAAACGACTGCCTCATCAGTGCCCAACTAATGGTATTATGATTCCCTATATACTATGTACAATAAATATTTATATAATTTTATAGTTTGACTAAGCATTTTTATTTTTTGTTAGATATAAAAAATAATAAAACACTAGGATGTTTTCGAGATGGTAAGGAATTTAAATTATTGCCTGGGTATAAGACTACACTTATACATACTAATTCACAAGATTATTGTTCGGATTTATGTCTTCAATCTGGTTTTGTTTATGCTGGAGTTGAATATGGGTATTGATAAATAAATATATTATTTTAATTTTTTATTTAATTTTAATATTATAAATAAAATAGATTATTTGTTACAAGTTGTTACAAGTTATAAATACTTAAATTATTTATTTAAGGACTGAATGCTTTTGTGGTAATGAAACCCCAGAATGGGATTTAAAACTTTCAGATACATTTTGTGATATGCAATGTCCAGGCAACCAAAGTCAAATGTGTGGTGGACATTATACTATTAATGTTATCAAAACTGGTGTTTCTAGTATGTATTTGTATCTTATTAGTTTTTAAATTTTATTTAATTTTTTCTTTCTTTTAGAATTTGTTGCCAGAGTAGCTTCTGAACCTTTACCAAATTTACAATATGATAAATCTCCTGTGCGAATAGTATTTCTTTTAACACTGAATGGAAGAGCTGTTAGACAAGTTTATCGATTGATTAAAGCACTTTTTCATCGTGATCATTATTTTTTTATACACGTAGATGCAGTAAGTAAATACTTGTTGATTTTCGATATTTTTTTTTTTTTTTTTTGTAAATGTATTATTCTATTTGAATTTTAGAGACACGATTACATGTTTAGAGAATTATTAAAAGTTGAACTAGCATTGAGTAATATTCGATTGTCACGACGAAGACATTCAACTATCTGGGGAGGCGCTTCTTTATTATCTACTTTAATGGATGCTATGTCAGATCTGGTTCAGTCTTCTTGGGATTGGGATTTTGTTATCAATCTTAGCGAGTCTGATTTTCCTATTAAGTTAGTATTTATAATTGTTTAGTAATTAATTTGAGTTTTGATTTTAAGAGAGCTGTTTAAAATTATACCCTTAAATCTATATCTTTACTTTTGTTTGATGGATGAAAATATCACTAGGTCAAATGATAAATTAGTAAAGTTTTTAACTATGAATCGTGAACATAACTTTGTCAAATCTCATGGTCGTGAAGTTCAACAATTCATTCAAAAACAAGGACTAGATAAAACATTTGTTGAGTGTGAAGCAAGAATGTGGCGTGTTGGAGAGAAAGAATTACCAAAAGGCATTATTTGGGATGGTGGGAGTGACTGGCTAGCATTATCAAGATCTTTTGTCGATTATCTAGTTACTGGTGATCCTCTTATTTCTGGCTTGTTACAATTTTTCAAGTATACTCTATTACCAGCTGAAGTATGTAAAAGAATTGTAAATTAATATATATTTTTAATGATTGATTTTTTTTTTTTTTTAGTCATTTTTTCATACTGTCTTAAGAAATTCACCTTTTTGTGAAACTTATATTGATAATAATTTACATGTTACTAACTGGAAGAGATGGCTTGGCTGTAAATGTCAATATCGCCATGTTGTCGATTGGTGTGGTTGTAGCCCAAATGTTTTTCGATATGAAGACTGGAACCGTATTAAGGTAAAATAATATTTAGATTAATAAAAATTAGCAGATATTTATTTGAAGTGTATCCTATACTTCTTAGTTTTTAGATATACCATTCATTACTATGTATTAAAATAATGGTTATTTAAATTTATTAAATTACCATAGTTTACAAAAAATTCATTAACAACTAAAAAAATATTTGTGATTATTGTTATACTGTATATAAAAATAGAGTTTGTATTATAATAAGTTATACTATTAAATTTATAATTTAGCATTATTAATAAAAATAGTGCAATTTAAAAATTAGTTTAAGTGTAAAAAATTGGTTTTATCAAAGCAAAAATATAAATATTTAAATTTAATAAATATTACGAATAATGATAACTATGTTAATATTTTAAGGACTGAAAATTAGTGTACATGGTTTTTATTAGTTGAATAGAATCTTGTAACCCAAAAATCGTTATATAAATAAGTATTTATTATATTTTGATTTGCAATGTTATTTTTTTAGAATACTGAAAAAAAGCAAGTTTACTTTGCTCGTAAATTTGAACCAATTATCAATTTATCTATATTAGATACACTTGAAGTTTGGTTATATGGAGAATATCCCACAGGTAACATGATCACCTCTTCAAATATATATATACGTGCATACACATACATATATAATAGACTGTTATTAACTGTGCAAATATAAATTATTTTTTAAAATAAAACAATTAAAATTATAATTTTATAATTTTTATTCAATTTTAATATTATTTATAATTGTGTATTTTAGATCTTAAAAACCGAATGAGTTATTGGCAAAATGTATACCATTATGAAGATATACATCCAGCACCTGATGAATCATTGCTTAAAATTGGAACTAGTCTTGCAAGAATTGCAACAAAACTTCTAACTACTTCACAAACAACTTGCCAAATCCGTAGTCTTGATAAGTTACTACAGGTTTTCACTTACCATCATAAAGATCAATTTAGAGTAATTTTATGATTTTATCTAACAATTTAAAATAAATACTCTCATAAAATATTGTTTAATTAGGGATTTTTGATTCAATATGAAGTCATTGTTTCAAATAGTTCTACTAAACTTCTTCTAGAAAGTTGGTGTTGGCCAAAACTCCAAGGAATTATTATACATAATAGAGATCCCATTAATAGATTATTGGTAATTTAAAATATTTAGTTGTAGAACAAAAATGTGTAATTTTATTAAAGTTTATGTATTATGTTTCTGCAGAATTTTATTGTCAGTTCAGATTTTGATCAAAAAGAACAAATGTCAAGAGATTTTATACGTATTATAAGCCCTCACACAGACCCTGTATTAATACACCAATGGGGACTTGGTGACCAAAGTTTTATAGTTACATTTTTGTGGTTAAATCCTTATGGCGAATTGGCTAATGTTACATCTGTAAAAATTGATGGATCAGCTTTAGTTAGTAGTTTTTATTAATTTGAAATCAAATAATTTTACAAGCATTATATATTTTAAACTTTAATAATTTAGATAAAATTTGTGAAACCAACTTTATTAACACCTTTGTCACAAGGAATATGGACAGTATTATTAGTTTATGAAAATGTGACTATGGCATATACTCAATTTCTAGTTACTCCATCACAAACCAATAGAGAAACATCCATATCTGCTAGTCAAATAAGGTAAGGCATTAACACATTTTTTTGGTTATAATTTATTAAAAAAAATTTTGATTATAGCTTTATAAGTAAAAGTCACAATTATGAACAGTCCCTTTACGAGTGGGAAAATGTGATAAAAGTTTTTAAAAATACAATAAAATTTGAAATGAAAAATAACATTAATGATCATTTGAAAACTAAAATGACCAGTTGGATTGATAGTCTTATTTTAAGGTAAAGGTATATTTATTGGTATTAATTAAACTTCTGTTACTTATTCACAGGGCATTTTGAAATGTTTACCTTCATTTAAATAAATTATATAATATTATATTTTGATTATAAACCGGGTCTTGAATTTTTAGTGCTTACAGCATTTTAGAGACCTGTATTGTGATTCCATGTAAATCTATTGGTGATTGTGGTCTTAAAAACTTGGTTACATGTGCTGAAACATCATGGAGTTCTTATTCACCTGATCCAAAATCAGAAATAATATCAATTAATAAAGAATTTGGAACTCTAAACCGGTAAATTTATTTTATTTAAATTAGTATTGTCAAATATAGTCAGAATTGAAAGAAAGTTTATAAAGGAATAGCTTTTGGCTGTATATTTTAATTTTAGCATCATATAAAATTTAACTTTGATAATATTTATTATTTACTAATTATTTTACTTTCTGGTAACTAAGAAAATCAAGAAACTTATTGGTTTTCAATAGTGATTTTTATTTGATGTTTAATATTAAAAATATTCCATTTTATTTGATTGTAGCTTGTTAACCAGTATTTTTATTTAAATATCAATCTTAAAACTATGATATTCTAAGTTAAAGTTTCTGTTAAAAAAAAATAAGAGAATCATGAAAGCCTAATTTCTAATCAAAAAATGTCTGTATATAACTTGTTGCTGATTTATTTTCTGATAAGTAATATCAAAGGAAAATCAAGAAATACACTGTAAAACAAATATATTTCTTGATTTTGCTGTAAATAGCTTTTGTAGTATAGGTATATGTTATAATTTTAATGAATATCATTAATTATAACCAATTTTTGTCATATTATTTTCAGATATTATTAGACTGACATAGTGCCATATCATTACAAGTTATACCATTTCTATCTTAACCTTATTTTTATTTGCTTAATTTTATTTTATTTAATAAATTACTTTAGATATTTTTTAAAGTTTAACAATTGTTGACCCACCTCTAAGTTATCATACATTTGCTAAAAATTAATTCACAATTATTCAATTTTTGTAAATGGCAAGAAATCCACATTATTTTTTTAACACATAGAATTAATGTAATGGTTTGTGATCAAATGTTTTATGCTTACATTAATTACGTTAACATTGATTTAATGAAGAACACAAATTTAACAAAAATATTTATTTATATAAAATATTAACTAAAATGTAGTTAGATTTAATTATTTTACTATTATTTTAACATAAGGAAATCTCTTGTAGAAATAATGAGTTATTAACTGTCTATGTTTAATATTTGTATAATGTTATATTTTGAATTATAAATCTTAAATATTTAAGATTATATGCTACATAAAATGTTAGGTTTTAATAATATCAATTGAAAATTAAAAATTTTCAAGTTAATGCAAAGTGTTTATTTATATTATTGCCATGATTTTTAATGTTTTTTATGAAAGACAAAAATAATTAATTTTAGTTCAGTCTCTCATAATAATTTATATTATTTATTTTTATTGATAAATAACTGGTAGTTAATATTTTTAATCAAAATTAAAGTTAGGTACTCAATTATTAAAAAAAAAATATTTATTATTATTAGTTTCTTTGAAAAATTAACTTTTGTTCAATTCACTCCGTAGACATTTCTATGGATAATAATTGTTTATTATCTGATTTATATGTTCTCCTAGTTAGAAAAGTGTTTTAATATTAGTAGTTTTGACTATTCCCCTCTACATAAAAAATATTAAATTGAATGATTTTTTTTATTACATAATAATTATAGCATTCAAGTATGTATATAAATGATGAAATAATTTTTTCTTTGGGTATTAGCAATTTATAAAATATATGGCAGTGGCATGAATATAGTAAAACAGCTACAAAATTATGACTGTCAATCAGATATAGATTAGGTTATGTATTAGGACTGATAGATCAAACCTAATTGTATTGTCACATAATGCACTAAATGAGTCATAAATTATTGTATTGTAATTTTTCTTTACTTAATTTATAAAACTCTAAACAAACAATTCTATTATATAAGTTTTTCAAACTAATTATAATTCCAATTGTATTTAAATGTATTATAAATTATTAACATCATAATTATAGTATCTACTTTAGTTTACTTACATGATATTATGTCCTACTTTATCTTCATATTTATTGTTCAAACTAAATTGGTTTAAAGTATTATCATAACTATTGAATCAAATTTTTTCCAAAACAATATAAGTTAGTTAATACATTTTACACAAGTGCATAATTTATTTACCATGACCAATTTCTAAATAATATGGTATTAAAATAACTTGAGTATAGTAACTGTTGATGTAAATTATACATTATTTAATATTAATTTAAAATAGTTGAATTATAAAAATATATATACTGAAGTGTTAATTATTATGTGATTAAATGTTTATTAATAATTCTTTTTGAAATACATTATTGAGATTTTAGAATTTCTAGGATTTTAAAAATTATTATGAATTTACTTCATGTTAAAAACTTTCTTATATCTTGATACTAAATGGTAAATATTTCAGTGTTTTATAAATGGAATTTACTGATTTTTTTTTTTTTTTATATAAAATATTGTTAATGCCCTTGTCAGCATTTTTGTAATATAAAAGCAATATTTATTATTACACATTTTCTGTCAACTATTAAGCTAATAAAATGGTTTTTTGATCTCAATTTATATCATATTTGAAATCTATTAATATGTATGTATTAATGTATTAATGTTTTATGTTCATGTTATTTAATAATATTTAATGTTATTAATGTCTTATAATGATCAATGTTATGAATGTGAAACTGAGTGTATTATTTTTAATAGGTTAGCAGTGATCTAAGCATTTCAAGTAACCAAAATAAATTAAAAAATATAAGTTTGAAAGGGTTTAAATAATAATTTGAGTTTGAAATTGTAATAAAACAAAATGAATAACTCAACTAACAACTATTAAAGATTGATTTTTTAAATGCATTGTCAATTTTTAATTTTAATAGTTATTAATAATTGTTTTAAATGAAATAATTATTGTTTAATCTTGTATATTTTCTTCATTTTAATAATAAAAACAAATATCATTTATATGTAAACATTGTGATGTATCAATAACAATTAATACGTTTAAAATAACTTAAATGTTATTATATAGGTTCTTAATTTGAATTTTACATTTATTATTATTTAAAATCACTTTTATGTCAATCTTCTTTTATTTTATATTTTAATAACTATAAAAAAATAATAAATTGTATAAACTAATGTATAGGTTCTAAACATTTTGTATACTGTAAATGTGCTTTATAAGTTCTGGTTTATAATAAAATACAGTCATTTATGCCGTAAAAATTAAAAATATAATTTAAAATCTCACCAACAATTAATAACCTATCTTAGTTTAAAATATTATATAAAAATATAAATTACATAAATAAAGCAACAATAATTCATAAAACAAAACCAATTAATAACTAGGTATTACATTTTATAATTTTAAGTTAATTTTATTTTTGGTTGTTACCTTAATATTTTTAGAATATAATTTTAAGATTTTATTTTTCATTGCACAATAAATGTATATGTTTCCAAAACTAACCCAATGAATATTTTTTATTGCTCACTGAGTGTTGTGTTTAAGCTAAGTATCCTAAATGTAATTAATATTATTTGATAAATTTTTATTAAGTTTGTTAAAATATTGTTACAAACTAAACATATCATACTATATTTTTAATTTTTTTTTAACAGTTTTAAAACAATTGTGTGCTAGTATATTATTATTTAATATAAAATTGGGGTAATTTCATAATGTATCGCATACTTATATTAATTAATTTTATTTGTTGTACATTTATTATACAATTTAAACTAGAGGCTAGATCAAATTATGTACACTGTATCTGTATGTCAAGATTAGTAGCATTATGCTAATTTAAATAAATTCAAATACCCTTGTACTATAAGCTATTACTTTTTGAACACATTATTATGTATTTGTTTATATTGTATACACTTTTATACTTTTTGCATTATGCTCATTTTTATAATTAATTAAAACAGGAATCTTACATCATAATTATCAATAGAAAATTGTTTTATTTTTCAATTAATTATACAGGATCCCGAGGTTCAGTTTTTATTTATTTTTAGTTGTATAATTATGTGAATAAAAACTAAATTAATTATTGATAAAAACTAACGAAAATAATAAAATACATTGTTTGTTATGTAGCAAATATTATACAAAGTATTTGTACAATTGTTGATTATATTTTTATAGAATAATTTTATGTGTTATTACTTATTAATTCTAGATCCTTAGTATATTATTATTTATCGCCTAGAGTAAACTCGTTTTTTCCTCAGTGCAGCTTCTACTCTAAGTTGTCTCCATTCTTGCACCAATGAGTGTCTTTGAAGCTCCAGATGTCTACTACTGATTGTTTGATGATAGTCTGCACGTAAGTGAGCCAAAGCATTAACTTGAGCATGCCAGCTGTGCAAACCTATAAAATAAGTATGTATGTACATTTTTTTGAGCAAATAAATTAAATGGACAAATCAAATCTTACCTAAATGCGATTTATATGGGCTTAATAAACTATATGTACGCTCGTAAGCCATTTGTCTTTCACGAAGTCTAATATTTAGGTCCTAAAATGGTTCATAAATATAAAATTAAAACCAATTATTATCAAGTTATGTACGATATAATTACTTGAATAGGTTGGATGGGTAATTTGTATCTTGGAGGCTGTTGTTGCCGAGTAGTTCTTGTTTCCATTGCAACAAAATCGTCAACATGCAATGATGGTGGTCTAGATGTGTTAGGCAAACGATTACGGAATGTATCAGGTCGTTGAATTGTTCCGAGCCTGCTAAATACTTTGTGGCGGGTAGGTGTAGTTGTAATAGCTTTAAAAGATAAATTAAACAAAGTATTGATGTTAGGTTAGTTAGATGTTAAATAACTCAGTATCATTGGTTTTATAATATACTTCATAAAATAAATTCTTACTTGATATGTTTGTAGTGTGTTCTTTTTCTTTTTTCTCAGTTATAATAGGCACTTGTGGTTTATGGACAGTTGGTTCTGGTTGGATAACACAGTCGTCAATTTTAAATAAATAATTAATGCTATCTTTGATATTAAAATCAAGCAATTCTGATGCAACTTCTTCTATATTACACTCTATTAAATTTTCAACAGTATAAGTACAAAAATCTACACTATAGTTGTTATAGATTTTGTCATTAGTGTCAACTACATAAAAAAGTCTATCTTTAAATATAGGTGTTAAATAATCAACTGTAGTTAGTTGTGGTTCAATCAGCTCTATTACAGGTTCTTGGTCGTTATTCAAAAAATCAATTAGAATAGTTAAATGTTTATAACACAAATCTGTTGAGTTATCTAGTTGCATAATTTCTTTAAGCAAATTTATAGGATGATCTTTTGACCAATTCAAACATTCTCTCAAGTGAGAAGAGCTTAAAAATAATACTCTTCTTGGGTTTATATCATTTTTAATACATAGATTTAAAAGCTGTAGTGTATATGTTAAAATATTTACACATTGACTATGTTCTTTTTTCCAATTTTGCAATAAACCATTGAAGATATTATAAAAAGCCTTAGGGAACAAATCTAAAACAGTTTTGAATTGATAAAATCCATAATCATTTTTTATGATCACTATGCATGTCTTAATAATAAGTGACATAGTAGATAATTTTGTGTGAGATTCAAATAAGCTTAAAAGTGATTTTAAAATATTGCTGAAAAACCATTTGCTTGGAACACTATCTTTAGGTAAATTTTCATTATGATTATTACCACAAATAATATCACTGTCACATAAACACTGTACAAACAAAATAGAATTTTCTTGCTGGCTTATTGTAATATTATTACATATTTTTTGAACAAGTTTTTCATAATTTTCTTGAGATTTTTCTTCATTCAATATTTGTAAAACAGCAGTCTTTATTATAGCACAATCTTTATTGTCACATAATTTTGTCAATAAATCTAAACAACCATTGAAACAGTAAGTGTTATCAGTATCCACTAGCACTTTTAAGAGCGACTGAGTGACAAACAAACACAATGACATACTCAAATCAGAAATTTTAGTACATAAATATTCTAATGGCTCTAATAATAATTTACTTGGACTTAAAACTGTTATAAGTTCAATAAATTCATTACTTAATTGAGCTAAATGGTCAATCCACTTGTTACGGAAAGATATCATGGTTGCAATAATAGATTCTTCTAAAGGTTTCTTTGTTTTAATTGGTAATGGCGAAGGTAATAATTTACATAAAAGTAGTAATCCAGAATAATAAGCGGATGGATTATATAATGTCCATACTATTAATTCATTTACCATTGAAGATCCAATTTTAATTTCTACATACGCCTCAAGCGTTTTATATATATCTTTGGTAACTTTAGAGGCATCTTCATGAATTGTACAATCATCAGGAACATTTTGCATCAAGTTATAGAGCATTAGTAATATTTTGATAGGTGATATATCTTTAAATGAATTTCCTCGGCTTTGTATTAATAGTGTTATCATACATCTAATCAACACCATTGATGGCTTAATGATAGATATTATATTATTAGCCTTGTTACCTGTTAATTTCCAAACGTTGATCGATGGCTGCTTATAGCTATCGCAAATTTTATTGACAATAGTTAGTAAATTTCCTAGCATATCATACGAGTACATTTGTAAAATAATATATTTATATTTAAGTTCAATAAAATCTTCTACTCCTTCAAATGCGGTTTCATTATTAGGAACGCCTAAATATTTTAAAATTCGAAGACTTGTAATCAAAGTCTTGTTAAAACTTAAACAGTTATCTAAATTATTTTCAACAATTTTGCATAATTCACTGACATCATCATGAAAAAAAGCAGAGTGCTTCATTGCTGGGAACGTCCAAGCTATCAAATCGTTATAACAATTGTGTTTGCATGCTAATTCGTATATTAATGCACCATATTTTTTTAAGTATCTGACATCTTCTGAATTTTCCATAACTATGTTTATTAAATCCAATGCATACATCATGTGTAAATCATCATTTTTTGATCTTGTTTGTTCCATGTATTTAAAAAAATTTAAAACAACCTCCAAATTGTCTCCCATGGTTAAAACAGTCACAACAGCGTATCTACCAATTGCAGATAGTGTTAACAAAAACATATCATGAAGTATGTCAATAGAATCCATTTGATCTAATTTAAAATTGTCCATTAAATTGCATTCCCAAAAATAACTTAAATAATCGATGAGAGATAATACTTTAATCTTGTAAACGAGTGTAGATTTAAACTGAGTATTAACTTTGCAAAGAACTTTTAATAATTCATTAAGCTCTTTATTTCTGCAACCCAAATATCTAAGCCCATGATCACAGTCCATTAAAATTTGCAAAAGTTTCAGTATATTTTGTTCAAGAGATTCTCTGCAATTAGGTCGATTCAATAATTTTGTCATACAGTTAATAAGTGATGAAGCATCAAATAATCTATAAATAGTGGGATAAACGTCAAAGTGAGTTAAGGCTGAAGTGAGCTCAAATTGGGCCCGAGCTTGCAAAAACCTTTTCGGACAACCCATTAAAATTGGAGCTTTAATAAATGTAGTAGTTATTTCCGCCAAACATTCTTGCAACAATAGTTCAGAATGAGGATCCAAGATATTTAAGTCAACATTTAATTTTTGTAATAACTCATAAAAATGTATTTTTCTTAAAATACTAGTTACTGAAAAACATACACGAGGTCTTTGGTGTATTGATAAAATTTTTAGTAAAGTCTGATATCCATTGAGATCATCAAAAACCACAGTATATAAAAAGAGTCTAATAGGTTCAAAACCATTTAAAGTAGAATCTAAAGCACGTAAAATGTCCAACTTCAGAGACAAACCCATGTGCTCAACAAAAAATAGATTAATTAATTTATTGTGAATTTCATGATGTTTGATTAAATGTTCAGATAAATCTTCATTATAATGGCAAAGTACTTCAATTAACTGAAGACCGATTTTTAAATGACGAATAATTAATGTTGTCATGGAAACATGTTCTTTTAAAGCACAATTGAAATCAAGTGTTAAATTCACCAAAGAGAACAATTTGTGGCAATATTCTAAAACAAAAAAAAAAATGTAAAATTATGTTTGGATAACTTAATAAACTTTCATACCTGGGGTATTTAGAATGTGGCTTAACGTTTTAGGTAAAATTAGAACAGTTCGTTCAGCTGTAATAATCCATTTTTCATTGATTTCTACATTTTTCGATTGTAAGTACTCTAAGCAATCAATGAGTTCAGATACTTCTTCACATTTAGAATCATCACCTAGTTTTCTATGAATATATTCAAACATAGACAAAGATGGATCTTGAATAATCTATGAAAATTATACATTTAAATCATATTTTTAAGTACACTGATGATTCATTTACATAATAAAAAATTATATGTCACTCACTCGAAGAGGAGATGCTTGATATAAAGATGGGACAAAGTCTTTAATTATTTCATCTGTATAATCAGTATAATTTTCACCTACATCACTATCCTAAAATACAATCATAATAACTAACAGAAGAATGAATATAAATATGCAAAATACCAAGGCTCCATCTTCTTCACTATCCATTGCAATATCATCATCACTACTAATAGCTTCCAGTAACATTTCTCCTATTTTTTCATTCGATTTTTCGACATTGTTTGATTCTGGTTTTGGTAATTTACTTATATCTTTTGTGTTATCTAAATTTAAAATAATAATTTACTGAACTGCATCAAATGTTTTAGAACCTTATAATCTATTAAAAAATAAAAATATAAATTTTAATTTACCATCTTCATAATGGGACTTAGGTATTTCTTTACGATTGTTGGACAATGTAGTAATAAAGTTGCCCAATTGGATGATTCCTTTATTTTGAAAACCTCGTTGTTCATCTTCGTCGACCGTGTTGTAAACTACATCGATTTTGGGTTTTTTCGACAATTCGTTTTCGAAATTATCATCCGACCGAGTATGTAAATCTAACGAATCATCTAACTCTCGGTCATTTTCGCTAATGTTTGTTCGTATCATTTTGCCATTAAATAACAACAATCATTTTATCACAAAGCGATGAAAGTGACTTCCAACAAATACCATTCGTTGCCGATGAGTTTTTTTTTTATAATTATAGTTATGAGTAAGAATTAAAAAAAATTTAAATTTACACATTAATTAAAACAGTGGCAACGGGATAGACGGAACTGAAAACGACAACAAAAATATTATTACCATGATTTGTTATCACATTACATTCCTATACCGCTACGGACTCATAGAATAATTACCATAGAATATCTTATCTATATCTGTGCCATAGACTTAAAAAGATATCTTTATATGATAATTACTCCATGTTGGGAAAGGAGCAGGTTAACTATTACCAAATCCATAGTTATAACTAGGGACCGGATTTATATGCAAATGCATATATGTATGGGAATAAGCTTTTTGAAATTTGATGAGCATTGTCCCCGATTTAAATCTTTCTTATTAAAATAACACTAATTTTATTTTGCATATTTCAACGTTTTTACCTATTAAATGCATATTCAATACATATTTGTAGTTTTATAGTGCATATTATTATTAATAGCACATATATTCGTTTTCGTCGTATTTTCATGATCGCAGCCACATAATATCGATAAAATTGCGACCGATCTTTATTTCCAAAGATAAGATTACATACTCATATCATCCAATGCAATAAGGTAAAAATAAAATATGAATTCAATTTTTGTTTTCACTTTATTAATGTGGGTATTTATACTTCATAGATTGAAAATAAAGAATGTTAAATGGCGGCAAAATATTTTAAAAGCTTTTTTATACTTTTTTTAATACCGTATTAATTAATTATTATTTTTACATTTATAATACATTTCACATATTTGTACATAATTTAAAACAACATTTCAAGTGAATATTTAAATACATATTTAAAAATAAATACATATTTTACAGCATATTACAGCATTTTTAGAAGCATATTTTGAGGATTTTTTGTGCATATAAATCCGGCCTCTAGTTATAACCATGATTTAAGATATATTTTTACTTTACCATGTACTCCATTTTTTAATTTTTTTTCGGTTCTATGTATTTTCAACGCTGAAAACGATGGTGCAAACGAAAATTGGCACAGATCATTAGTTTTATAGCTACATCCAGGGCTGTTCAGAGGGGGGGGGGGCAACGGAACCATTTTGCCCCAGGCCCCATTGTTGTAATATTTTTAGGGGGTCCCCAAAAAATCTTGATTTGAAAGAATCTTCTTTGCGTCATTCACATAATATTATAATGTAATACTTATACAGTCATACAATGCGCGCGTAAGAGCATGACCAATCACGCAGTCAAAACAATTTCCTCCATCGGTGTGGTTAGTTACATATTTGCATTATGTAAGTAGTAAGTATGTGATGCAATACATCAATGTAAAAGAGCTTGATTGGTTAAGATTTGGAAAAATACGTTTACAAAAATGTTGTTATTTTCAGTGAGCATTTTGTTTATCATATCTTATTGTTATGGTCAAAGGGCCCTAAAATTAATTTGCCCCTGGCCCCGAAAATACTTGGAACGGCCCTGGTTACATCCATTTAAAGTTTATAGTTTTGTTTAAATAATGATGTTACTACGATTTAATTTATGCCGTAGAGCAACACATAATGCGGCATTACCTTATAAAGCGCGCTTCCTTTCAAAACACTGGGTCATTTTTGTGAACCAATATTTTAATCATCAATAACGAACACGGGTTTATTATATTTCGATAATTCTATATACATACATCTCGCTGCGGCATGTTTCCAAGAATGCGATAATGTGGTTGTTATTGTGGCTATTGTATTAGTTCTACTTATATTTAGATATTTATACAAAAAAATTATTAGAAAAATAAATACCTGTTGGGTAATTGTTTATTTATTGTAAAGCCGGGTTCCCACGACTCGTGTATTCGACGAATATTTATAATTGCCGAATATTCGTCTATTTGTACAAATACCCAAATATTCTGTTCCCACTACTTGCATATTTGACAAATATTTGTTAACACAAATACTCGTACAAGTAGTCAAAATTATCCCTCCAATAAACTTATAAATTCGTATGTATGGAGTTTGAATTTACTTATACATTTTTTATCATTATGTTGTGGGCAGTTGTACATGATTGTTCTGTTTTTACATGCATTTCGGTGTTTTTTTTTTTTTTAATTTTAATCTAGTTTCTAGGAAACGTGCGGACTACAACGCGTTTTGATCGCCTGGCCACAACAATATTATATTTAGAACCACGGAAATTAATACACAAATATTCGTCACGTCGTGGGAATGCCCATCCAAATATCAATTGTGATACAATTATTTTCTTTGGCTTGTGTCACTTTTACCGACAATCGGCGGGAACTAGACGAATGACGAATACCGAATGCCGAATATTCGTACAAATATACCATTCCCACTACATGACGAGTATCCACGAATATCGAATATTCGTCAAATACACGAGTCGTGGGAACCCGGCTTTAAAAACGTTTTATTTATATTTAACTAGCTGACCCGACAAACGTTGTTTTGTCATATAAATTATTTCTAGAGAATATTTCGCTAGAAAAAAATAACTAATTAAATATAGGCATGTAAGAATGTGGGTAAGGATAAGGATGTAAGGAAGAGATATGGAGTGCTATGAATGGTGACGAAATATAAAAATGAAAAAACATCAAACATTTATTTTTTTAATTGATCTTTAATTGATTTTTAAAATTGATCCATTAAAATTATATATATCGCTAATTATGACAATATTAGTAAAAAACAATATCTATCCTTTAATGCAACAGAGTGTACAATATTTTTTGTTATCCCATCTTTCGCCAACACAAACTGGATGGTTCGAGAGCACACCACGTATAATTATCCGTGTGAAAAATATGATGTGCTCAAATCTAAGCTACAGACATTGTTTGGCTTTGAAACTTATTGATAGTCATTGCAGATGCCAATCTAACTGGAAAATTTAAGGCGTTTAAATTGTATTGGCACATCTGTGGGTATAATAGAGATTCGCGGTAATAATATATTTTCACCTCGGAATTTGCATTTTAAAATTATGGCTTCGATAACATTTTTCATTCATTTTTTAACGACTTATCGCGTGCTGTTGTACAACCGTGTTAGGTCAAATTATGAAGCAAAATAACCGGAGAACAAACCTTCAATTGTAAATTATGCGGTGGCATGCCTGGTAAGTCCAATGAGTTTAAAAACTCTGTTAGATAATTTACAGTTTCAGTAGCATAGCAAACTATATCTATAGATTTGTATGACACCATGTCTCCTGGTAACAAATGTTTATCTTGAGATTCAATTCGTTGACATCCACATTTTTTACTACTAAAATTGCTCTTTCTGCCAGCCACTCATGATTTGTGTATTGTCTACTGGAACTATTGTGTATTTGTCTACATTGGAAAATATCTAGTCAATGAGACCATCTTGCGAATAAATGATTGTGCAGAAATCGGTCGGTAATTTTATACATTCCGTTTCATCTATAGTAACTTTCCCATCTCCAGTATCTAACAATTGTTTTGAGAATCTTCTGCACGCAGCTTTTTTTTGATTGAATCGCAAGTATCAAAATCGTTCGCTCTCTATCTTTACATACATTTCGACCATGAATTGTTGACGAAGCTCATTATATCGTAGAATAATTTTGTCCTGATCGCGTCTAATCATCAACCAATATGCATAATAATTTTTCGAACTAACATTCTTATTTGTTTTGACACCTGTTGCGGGATTTTTTTTGTTTAATATTTATGCAATACCTGTCATTTACTACCAAAAATAAAATTAATAGTTTTTAAATAGTTTTATTTAATAATTCATTTTTAACTGTGCAGTTATCGACCGGGTCAAAAATTATTAAATTAAACTATGATTTATTAAACAATAGCACTTTTCCAAAAAATTTTTTCGTAAAAATCCGTTCTCAATTGATGAAATGTTATACATTTTTTTGGCTCCATTTATATATATACTAGCTGACCCGGCAATGCTTTGCTATTGCTAGATTTCAGTACATTTATATATGTTTAGGAATATGTGAAAAGTTTGATATGAATTATATCAGATACTTAATTTGATTAATTTGTTTAGTATAATTTTATATATACGTGTGGAATATATTTGTTTCGTTATGATGTATGATGTATGATTTTTATTTTTTTTGTTAATTATATCAATTTGTCTTAAGTATTAAATATTTCTGGATACACCACGTTAAGTGTCTCACCTTCTGGGGCCATCACAAATAGATTTTGTTTGCATGTGACACGTGACAGAACTACGTACAATTGACCATGGGAAAAACACTGGACGGTTAAATCTAAACCTGCAACGTTTAATGTTTGACCTTGTGCCTTATTAATAGTCATTGCAAAGCTTAATTTCACGGGAAATTGGAGCCGTTTGAACTGAAATGGCAAATTGGTTGGTATCATTGGTATTCTAGGAACCAAGACCATTTCCCCAGTTCTGCAGCCAGTAAGGATTATACACTCAAGCAGACAGTTTTTTAAAGACTTTATTTGTAATCTTGTACCGTTGCATAATTTAGGTGGACTTAAGTTACGAAGTAAAATTATAGGAGACCCTATTTTTAGAATTAATTTGTGTGGTGGGGTCCCTGAAGGTGATAAAGAATTTAAAAATTCAGTTGGATAATGTATCGCCTCCTCTGCATCTAAAACAGTGTCAATGGAATAGTAAACTTTTGTTGGTGCGTTGAATTTTAATAGTATCATGTCATTTATTTTATTGACTTGATCGTTAGTTGGTGACAATATTGCTCTTTCTTGAAACCAACTTGGCGTTTTAGTCGAAATATTAGGTAAATCTGGGTAAACATTTTCAATTAGGTCCATCAAATTAGACATCAAAAAACAAAGCTCAGACAGATCAATTTTACCATTTCTAGTCAGTGACTGACCATTACCAACACGGAGTAAAGCATCAGCAAAAGTTTTATTTCCTTGGTCAGATGATAATATTCTCATATTAGTTTTCAGTTTCAATTTAGTTATGTCTGGCCAAATGTCTGGCCAAATGTAAGATCTCTTTAATGATGCATTGACTTCATCAGCTCTCGTTCCTCTTACTACAACTGGCAAGATTTGAAGAAAATCTCCAGAAAATAAGACTGTACAGCCACCCATTAATGTATTTTTATTACGTAAGTCCCG